TATCCAATTTACCTTTAAACGACCAGTTTATCGGTTTACAACTTGCACCGATTTCATTAATTCAAGCCAAGCACGAACATTTAAGACAACAAATTATGATTATATATGTTTTCAAACGGCATTATATGACCCCGAAATGTATCCCATAGAATTTAACGAATTTTCGACACCGGGCCCCGAAACATCCAAACTTTCTCAAAAAACATAAATATTAGCCTTCAATTTTGGAATTTTTTGACTTTTTTTTCTCTCGGATATAACAATTGCCGAAATGTTAACCATGGTCCCTAATACCCTCTGGGAGACCAATTGGGTGGGTGTAACTATCCAATTTGCCTTTAAACTACCAATTTACCGGTTTACTACTTGCACCGATTTCATCAATTCAAGCCAACTACGAACATTTAATTGACAACAAATAATGATCATATAAGGTTCCAAACGACATTATATGACGCCAAGATATAATCCCTAGAATTTCAAGAATTTTTGAAACCGTGCCCCGAAGACTCCATAAATTCTAATAAAGCGTGGATATTAGTCTTCAATTTTTAAATTTTTTGACTTTTTTTCGCCCGAATATAAAAATTGCCGAAAAATTTTACCATGGTCCCAAATACCCTCCAGGAGTCCAATTTGGTGGGTGGAACCATCCAATTTGCCTTTAAACAACCAATTTACCAGTTTACAACTTGCACCAATTTCATTTTTTTTAAGCCAACCACAAACATTTATAACAACAAATAATGATCATATATGGTTTCGAACGACATTATATAACCTCGAGATGTATCTCATAGAATATCTAGACTTTTTGACACAGGGCACCGAAATCTCCAAAATTTCTTTAAAAGCGTGGATATTAGACTTCAGTTTTTTTAATTTTTTGACTTTTTTTCACCTGGAAATAAAAATTGTCGAAATGTTTACCATGGTCCCTACTACCATCTCGGAGTCTAATTGGATGGGTGGAACCATCCAATTTTCCTTTAAATGACAAATTTACTGGTTTACAACTTGCACCGATTTCATTTTTTAAAGGCAACCACGAACATTTATGACAACAAATAATGATCATATATGATTTCAAACGACATTATATGACCCTAAGATGTATCCCATAGACTTTCAAGACTATTCGACACCGGGCCCTGAAATCTCCAAAATTTCTCAAAAAAACGTGGATATTAGCCTTCAATTTTGGAATTTTTTTAACTTTTTTTAGCCCAGAAATAAAAATTGCCGAAATTTTAACCATGGTTCCAAATTCCCTCCGGAAGTCCAATTGGGTGGGTGGATTTATCCAAATTGCCTTTAAACAACCAATTTACCGGTTTACAACTTTCAGCGATTTCATTTTTTCAAGCCAACCACGAACTTTTATGACAACAAATAATGATCATATATGTTTCCAAACGACACTATATGACCTCGAAATGTATCCTATAGAATTTCACGAATTTTCGACATCTGGACCTAAAACCTCCAAAATTTCTTAAAAAACGTGGATATATTAGCCTTCAATTTTGGAATTTTTTGACTTTTTTTTTGCCCGGATATAAAAATTGCCGAAATTTTAACTATGGTTCTTAATACCCTCCAGGAGTCCAATTGGGTGGGTGGAACCATCCAATTTGCCTTTAAACGACCAATTTACCGGTTTACAAATTACAACGATTTCATTAATTCAAGCCTATCTACCACGAACATTTATGACAACAAATAATGATCATATCTGGTTCCAAACGAGATTATATGACCCCAAGATTTATTCCTTATAATTTTAAGAATTTTCTAACCAGGCCCCGAAATCTTTTAAATTTCTCTAAAAACGTGGATATTAGCCTTTAATTTTTGGAAGTTTTTGACTTATTTTCGACTGAAAATAAAAATTGTCGAAATATTTACCATGGTCTCTAATGCCCTCTCGGAGTCTAATGGGGTGGGTGGAACCATCCAATTTGTCTTTAAACGACCAATTTACCGGTTTACAACTTGCACCAATTTTATAAATTCAAGCCAACCACGAACATTTATGACAAAAAATAATGATCTTATATGGTTCCAAACGACAATATATGACCCCGAAATGTATCCCATAGAATTTCACGAATTTTCGACACTGGTTCCCCAAAACCTCCAAAATTTCTCAAAAACCGTGGATATTAGCTTTCAATTTTGGAATTTTTTGACTATTTTTTTCGCCCGGATATAAAAATTTGCCGAAATATTAACCATGGTCCCGAATATCCACTAGGAGTCCAATTTAGTGGGTGGAAACATCCAATATGCCTTTAAACGAACAATTACTAGTTTACAACTAGCACGATTTCATTAATTCAAGCGAATCACGAACATTTATGACGACAAATAATGATCATATATGATTCCAAAAAGCATTATATGACCCCGAGATGTATCCAATAGAATATCAAGATTTTTCAACACCAGGCCTCGAAACCTCCAAAATTTCTAAAAAAGTGTGTATATTAGATTTCAATTTAGGAATTTTTTGACTTTATTTTTCCCTGAAAATAAAAATTGTCGAAATGTTTACAATGGTCCCTAATACCCTCTGGACGTCCAATTGGGTTGGTGGAACCATCCATTATGTCTTTAAACGACCAATTTACCGGCTTACAACTTGCACCGATTTCATAAATTCAAGCCAACCACGAACATTTATGACTATAAATAATGATCATATATGGTTCGAAACGGCATTATATGACCCTGAAATGTATCCCATAGTATTTCACCAATTTTCAACACCGGGCTCTGAAACCTCAAAAATTTCTCAAAAAACGTAGATATTAGCCTTTAATTTTTGAATTTTTGAATTTTTTGACTTTTTGTCTCCCGGATATAAAAATTGCCTAAATGTTTAACATGATCCCAAATACCCACTAGGAGTCTTATTGGGTGGGTGGAACTATCCAATTTGCCTTTAAACGACCAATTTACCAGTTTACAACTTGCACCGATTTTGTTAATTCAAGGCAACCACGAACATTTATGACAACAAATAATGATCATTTATGGTTTCAAACGACATTATATGAACCCGAGATGTATTCCATAGAATTTCAAGCCTTTTTGACACCGGGTATTTAAATCTCTAAAATTTCTCAAAAAGCGTGGATATTAGCCTTCAATTTGGAATTTTTTGACTTTTTTTCGCCCGGAAAAAAAAAATTGCGGAAATGTTCACCATGGTTCCTAATATCCTCCGGGAGTCCAATTGGGTCGATGGAACCATCCAATTTGCCTATAAACGACCAATTTACCGGTTTAACAACTTACACAGATTTTATTAATTCAAGCTTACCTCGAACATTTATGACTACAATCAATGATCATATATGGTTCTAAACGACATTATATGACTCTGAGATGTATTCCCTAGAATTTCAAAAAAATTCGATACCGGACTTTGAAGACTCCAAAAATTCTCAAAAAGCGTGGATATTAACCTTTAATGTTGGAAATTTTTTACTTTTTTAGCTCGAAAATAAAAATTGACGATATGTTTACCATAGTCCCTAATACCCTCCGGGAGTCCAATTGGGTGGGTAGAACCATCCAATTTGCCTTTAAACAACCAATTAACCGGTTTACAATTTACACCGATTTCATTAATTAAAGCCTACCACGAACATTTATCATAACAAATAATGATCATATATGGTTCCATTTGATATTATATGACCCCGAGTTGTATTCCCTAGAATTTCAAGAATTTTCTAAATCGGGCCCCGAAGACTCCGAAAGTTCTCAAAAAGCATTGATATTAGCGTTTAATTTTCAGTTCAGTTCAGCTCAGCTCAGTCCAGTTCAATTCAACTCCTAATTTCCTTCTCTTTTAAAATATTCATTTCAGTTCAGTTCAGCTCAGCTCAATTCAGTTCAGTTCAGTTCAGCTCAGCCGAGTTCAGTCAATGAGAAAAGACCCTTAGTCGAACCCGAATATAACCTGACTTGGAAATGACCTACCCTGATTGTAACCTGCAAATTATTAACTCGAACATAACTTGACTTGAATCTGAGAATGACCCGACTTGGAAATGACCGGACTTGGAAATGACCCTACCTGATTATAACCTGCAAATTATTGACTTGAACCGAACTCGACTTGAACCTGAGAATGACCCGACTTGAAAATGACCCGATCGGATTATAATCCGCAAATTATTGACTTGAACCGAACACGACTCAAACCCGAGAATGACCCGACCTGATTCTAACCGGCAAATTATTGACTTGAACCGAACCCGACTCGAACACGAGAAGTACCCTAACCCGTTTTGACCCGACCTGTTATTAACCCGACCCAAACCCGATAACAAGTATGACCCGACTCAAGCATGAACCAACCCACTCTTACCCGACCCAAACCCGACTCGTTTACCCGAATCAAACCCGACCCGTTTATCCGAAATAACAGCTCTAGGTATTAGAGCCCATATGGATGTATCATTGTCCTATTTATTTAGTACTCCGTACATCTTAATTTTTGATGGTACACCCTAGCAGAACCAAAGCTATTAGTGTCATTGAAAGCTAGTGGGCATCTTTGGAAGGTTGAATGACTAATGTTTATTTGACTAGGTTGCTGCAGGAGAAACGTCTTAATATAGGGAGGTAATTGCAGAAATTATTTACTTGTATGAGTAATTGTTTTACTATATAACTCATTCTAATCAGTTTACCAAACGGAGTAGAGATTTTAAAATCATAACACCTAATGTTGAGTTTTTGGCCATTAATCCTAAAGCAATACAATATATATTGCGTTCTTACAGTTTTTCTGTTCACCATCTGAGGCTAGGTATCAAGGAGGCTCTTTCAAAATATAGGCGTATGGTCAAACGCATCCTACAGATTAGGATCGATAGGTTGGAACTTCACAATAAGTTTTTTTTTTTTAAAAAAAAACACTATCTTCCAAGTTGGGTACAATTAACTGCTAAAAGACAGATAATTCAAAACAGGTTCAACACTAGTAGTAAGGCTTATAAAACTATTTTCAATGATGAACTAGTACTAGAGATACACAAGGACTCCAACAATGAAATATCAATTGACAATCACAGTAAGTTTCAGCATTACAGATTTGCAGTTTTATAAAGATGAGTAATGATGTGTTTTACATAAAATACACCCTGTGCAACCACGGCTGTCTACCCAACGCTGCAAGTAGTTGCAATGTTTTTTGATGGGATCATAATCAACATGCAATAACTAACGACGGAGATTATCCTCCTCATATATGTAAAAGAGTGATGAGCTATTGTGTCCGCATTCTGCTACTTTCTGCAGCTCTGACTTGTGAGAAATATGGATGTGCCTGCCAGAAAGAACAAATAATTGTTACAGATGTTAATCAGGACTAATTTGGATCGTAGTGGTTAGCATAGAAGTATAAAGTTCCCAAAAGAGTAATCATGTTTGACTTAGTACAATTAAGATGTCAAATGAAGTCAAACTCGCAGATAACTAATGCCATCTTAACAGGAGGTAGGTTAGGTTGCAATTACAGAACACTCATGTCACTTAAATCAATTGATCCCATTGGCTAAATCAAACCTAAATATGCAGTACGATTTGCTGATATTGTCCAATTGAACTCACTTCCAGTAACTATGAGACAAAACAGTAAGAGAAATAATAAGATAACATATTATGATGTGACACAAAGACAGCTGATTAATTCCATATTAGGGATTACTTACCTTTGTTAATAGTGATTATAAACATCTTAAAACTATTTAAGGTCAAGCAAAAATCATTAGATTTATCATGTTTGTCAGTCTAAAAACTAGAGCACCAAAATAAGGAGATCTGGTTAAAAGTTAGGGTTGAAACCAAAAGGAGCTACATGATGGCCTAATGGGAAACAAAAATGGGTGACAGAAGAGTAAATGCAAATGAAATGAGACAAAGGCATGGCTAATTTTCTAATTTTTTAGGTTGCTAGGGGAGTAGGGGGTAGGCTTGGTCCTATAAATGGAGAATATTAAGTCAAATAATATGAAGATGCTTGAACTTCTCCCAATACTCATTGTAAATTAGATAGCTAAAATGGAAGATTCTTTAATACGAATATTGCAACAACATATGAATTACTAAAACACAGAGCAACATGTGATAAAATAACTAGAAAATAAAAAATCTACATGTATTAATAATCAACAGTACCTTTTCCTCATTTCATTTTACGTTTAACAAACACAAAAAATGAACATTTATAAGTAGGAGTTTTACAGCAGATATTATAGAGGATTACCATTGCTTCTTTTGCAGTTAGCCTATCTTGGTGGTCATAGCGAAGAAGCTTATCAAGAAAGTCGATAGCCTGTGAAATTATACAAGCTTAGGACACTCATTGGAAACATAAGACCAACTAAAAGACGTTAAATTTCATAATTTTGAGCCAATAGGTATTAAATATTTTTTATTTGAATTACCTCTGGGGAAACCAAATGCTGATTATCTGGATTGACAAACCTTGACCATGGTTTCCTGCTGTGCCTACAGTTATAAAGATCAATTTTTATGAATAAGATAGTTTCTGAAATCAAGCAATGTTCAGATAACCGACTCATCAAATTCTATACAGCGTGACTGCAGATATTTCCTAGAAAAAAGGGGAAAATCTAATTACTAAAGTTTTAGCAAGCAAAAAAAGAAAATGCCACACTCTAAAGCTTACCTCCCAACAAGAGCATCAAGTTGAGGATCAAGCTCCAGATTATATTTGTTCAAATATGCATTCAATTCATCAGTTCCAAGCACCTGCATATTATTAGAGAAAGTCCAAATCATGAGTGATTTGATGAGAACAAGGGTGTGGCCCAACTTTCTACTCCCAAAATTTTCTCATCCAATATGATACTCCGTATGAGGGTTGTCCTCTTCTCCCTTTCATTGGGAACTACTTAACTTGGCTTTCATTAAAGAGTAAAAAATCTAATTGTTCCTCTAACCCACGGGGCCACGGCCAATCTTGCTACCTTTAAGTCAAAAGTTTGATTTTAAGTGAGACTCAAAATGTGAAGCATCTAATGATCTCATCACTGATGTAAAAAGGATGAATTGAAAATGCTGGATGTTATTCACAGATAAAGTTTCCTACCACACAGTTGTGTACGCACACAAACATCTGCAAGTGCACGTACAGACACTAGGTTCTCCTACTTCAGCCAAAGCTTGAACCTAAATATAATCATTTGTTAAAAATTTTACTCATATCAACACATTCAGTTGAGTGTACTAAACTTTCAAATTGACCCTCTATTTTCAAATTTTGATTTGTAGAATGCACAAGATTCCTAATAGGAAAGATTTTCTGAAAAGCGACTACTGCTTTTTATCCAGTGAATAATATCTCTTATCCATTTTCAATGCAGTTTCCTTGCCACTTTACACAATTATCACAACCGCTAGAAATGTCACAGGTACAGGAAGTGCATCTTATGCCAAAAGCAGATTTTTCGGTGTAAAAAGGAACTATATAGTTTTCATTAAATCAGAGGTTATGAACCATAAAAGTAATATTGAATGGCATCAGAAGCATACCTTTGCAATTTTTACAAGCTGATCATGGTTGTCATGACCATAAAAGAATGGCTCTTTCCGGAATATCTAAAAGACAAAATAGAGGCGTGCTGAGTGATTTCATGTTTAAGATACACTTAACATTTTAGAAAGGAAAGTTGAGAACAACTGCTCACCATCCCAGCAAACATACAACCAAGGCTCCACATGTCCAAAGAATAGTCATAGTCTTGTAAATCGACAAGAAGTTCTGGCCCCTTGAAGTATCTGTAAACAAGATTTAAGACATTCAAACAACTGAAATATGTCATAATATAGTATAGCACTACTTTTTTTTGAAAGATAGTATAGTACTACTTTAACTTGACTGATCTAAAATAATACCTAAAAGGTAAAATATTAATAGCAACATCTATTGTGGTCTTAACAGAACTTTGTGTTCTATGCAAGAGGCCAGCCTAGGCCCTTAATCACATATGCTCAGAGAAGGCCCAAAAGGAATTCTCCAGCAACTTGATGCTGAGCTGGAATTATGTTAGGAGTTTGTTATGTGGCTTTGGGGTAATGTGGTAATTTTGGTAATAAGTTTGTTATGCCTCTAAGCTGTAGAAGATACTAGTAACTGATTATATATACGATTATTGTAATGGAGGAATTATGCTGAATATTGATTAGAGTGAAGTTTGTTGGAGAGAATCCTTCCTCTCGAAAGGAGAGTTGTATTGCTTAATTACTCTGATTATCAATAAAACATATCAATTGAGCTCCCTAATATTCTGTGTGTGATTGTGTATCTCTATAGTGAGCCCAGTTCCTAGCAATTGGTATCAGAGCAACCACGACCCTCGCCAGAGTAGAAGATGGCTCGACTTACCCATGGCCAGCGTTTGGATCTTCCAGGAGATTGTAGGTGTCCCTGGTCGCGTTGCTCAGGAGATCACTACAGATCACTATAGGGCGAAATTAAGACGGATCTGGCAGCTCAGTTTGCCAATGGTCGAGAGAAGAACCAATCGGAGAACCGCGCGACAGGTGTGACTGGGTCCTCCTACCAATGGGACAACCGTTCGCCGGTTCGCAACCACGATTGGAGATGCATGACGGGAGTTTCCATGGTTGTCAATCGAATTGGAAGGTGAGAAAGCTTGATCTCCCAATTTTTGATGGAACTAACCAGATGGTTGGATTTTGAGGGTTGAGCGACTCTTCCATTTTTATCGACTCAGTGAGGAGGATCAACTGGAGACAGCGGTAGTGGCTCTCGACGGCGATGCCCTGCTTCGGAATCGCTGAAGAAGATGATTCTCCAGCGTTTCCGTACCACGGCAACCGGAACGCTGCATGAGCAGTGGTTAGCTCACCAGCAAACCGGTACGGTGGCCGATTACCGGCGACGCTTCATTGAGTTGCTTGCACCTCTAGAGGGAGTACCTGAAGAAATTGCAAAAGGGCAGTATATATATGGGTTAGATTAGAAGATCCGAGTGGAAGTGCGGATCCTGGATCCGGTCACTTTGGATGAGGCCATGGAATTGCCCATGCGGGTCGAAGAAAAAATGCGGGTCAGCCTCCCCAATTGGAAAACCCCTTATCCAACCCAACGTTTTAACACAGCTAATACCACCCAAAACACGTACCCAAACCTAAACACTATACCGAACCCAAACACAACCCCGATCCAGACCCCACTTACCCAAACTCAGCCAAATCGCCTCACATACAACCACCACAACCCCACCGGAGGTATAAGGCGGTTGTCGGAGGAGGAGGTACAACAGAAGCGCGAGCAGGGGTTATGCTTCCGTTGTGATGGGAAGTGGAACTTGAACCACCGTTGTCGCCGGGAACTCAGCGTGCTTCTCACCGTCGATGATGATGAGGATGATGGTGGCGACGCCAGTGAGCTGGCCGCCGTTGAGGTACCTGCACCTTCCTCACCCCTGTCTTCTTTTTCTCTTGACCCGAGTTCGGGTGTCTCTATATGATCTGTAATGGGTATTACCAGCCAAAAACTATACGGTTGGTAGGCTCCATTAATGGGGGTAAGGCCGTAAGGTGGTAGTGACGCTGGACCCAGGAGCTACCCATAATTTTATTTCAGCTATTACAGCACACCACTTGCAGGTACCAGTCTCCGATTCGAAAAATTTTGGAGTGACCTTGGGGACGGGGGAGACTATTCAGGGAGAAGGATTGAGTAAGGGAATGTTATTGGAGCTGCAGGGGCAGGGGGTCTCCATCATTGAGGATTTTCTCATCCTACCCTTTGGGAAATTCTGATGTGAGCTTAGGCATCCAGTGGCTCGAGAAATTGGGCACTATAGCTTCGAATTGAAAGCAACAAGTGGGCAGTGAGACAGTGACCCTTAAGGGGGATCCACAGCTTGAGAGAACCTGTATTTCCCTCAAAGGCAGTGGTGAAGACCTTGCAAAGGGAAGGGTATGGGGTATTGTTGGAATTCAATCAGAAAGAGGGGCTGCAAGGGGAAGACACTCATGTTCCGGCTGCTCTAACCTCTCACTGATCGGTTTCAGCAAAAGGACTACCACCCATCAGAGATATTGAGCATGTCATTACCTTGAAAAGTGGGACTAATCCCATAAGTGTGCGTCCTTATAGATATCCCCAGTAATTGAAAGACTCGTACAGGACATGCTCAAGGCACGAATAATTCAGCCCTCTTCTAGTGCCTACTCCAGCCCGGTTCTTCTTGTTAAGAAGGACGGCTCGTGGCAGTTTTGTGTCGATTATAGGGCACTTATCAAGGAAACGGTCCCCGATAAATTCCCTATTCCGGTGATCGATGAATTATTTGATGAACTCCACGGTGCTAAGGTGTTCATTAAATTGGACCTCAAGTCCGGTTACCATCAAATTCGGGTTAAGGAGGATGTGCCCAAAACCGCGTTTCGCACCCACGAGGGTCATTACAAGTTCATTGTAATGCTCTTCGGCCTTACAAACGCTTCGTCAACTTTTCAGTCCTTAATGAAAGAGGTGTTCAGGCCTTTTCTTCGGAAATTCGTTTTGATGTTCTTTGATGATATACTCGTCTATAGTCATTCAATGGAGGAGCACTACTCCTATTTGCAGCAAGTTTTGCAAACCTTGGCCTCACAACCTTTATGCCAATATGAAGAAGTGTGAAATTGGAAAAGAGAAGGTGGCATATCTCAGCCATGTCATTTCTTGGGAGTAGAAGTTGATGCCACAAAAATACATGCCATGGTCAATTGGCATGTTCCCATGAATCTCAAGGACTTACGGGGGTTCTTAGGCCTTACGGGCTATTATAGGAAATTTATCCAAGGCTATGCAGAAATAGCAAGACCCTTAACTGTCAGCTACGGAAGGACTGTTGGGGGTGAGGCTACTCAGGCCTTTGAAGCATTGAAATCAGCTATGACCAGGGCTCCCATTTTGGTCATGCCTAATTTCTCTTTGCCCTTTATCACTGAGACGAATGACTCAGGGTTCGATTTGGGGGCAGTCTTGCTACAAGAGATTCACCCTATAGCATATTTCAGCAAAGTATTAGGAGTTCAGGCTAGAGCAAAGCCAATCTATGAGAAGGAATTGATGGCCATCGTGTTTGCTATTGAGAAGTGGAGGCATTATTTGTTGGGAAGACAATTTATAGTGCGCACGGACCAAAAGAGTTTGCGGTCCTTGTTGGAACGGCGAGAGGTGGGACATGCTTACCAGAAATGGATGAGCAAGCTCCTTGGTTATACCTTTGATATACACTACAAGCCGAGCCCTACCAATAAGGTGGTCGATGCTCTGTCAAGGCAACAAACCCCGGCGGTGGAGTGTGCCTCTTTGGTCACAGCGTATGGAGTTAGTTGGGATTATGTCAAGGCCTTTATCGACAAGGACTTGGGGCTGGAGAAGCTGATCTCTCATATTGGTAAGGGGGATTCAGTCCGTAAGTGGTTCTCTATGGAAAATGGGGTGCTTAAGTACAAGGGCAGGCCGGTCATTCCGAAAACAACTCTGAGCTCAAGGAATACCATGATACCCCGGTACGAGGTCATGCACGGGATTTAAAACTTATCAACGCTTAGCAGCCAAGTGGTATTGGACAGGTATGCGAAGGGATGTTGCAAGTTATGTCAAGCAATGTCATGTATGTCAACAAAACAAGACCTCTACTCTCTCTCCCTTGGGCTTGCTTCAACCTCTGCCTATTCCAGGTAAGGTATGGGAAGAAATTTCCATGGATTTTTGTCGAAGGTCTACCTAAATCCAGGGGGTGGGATTCGATCTTAGTAGTGGTTGACCGCCTCACCAAGTATGGCCACTTCATACCCTTGAAGCACCTTTACACTGCTCAAGGAGTAGCTCACTGCTTCATGAAGGAGATTGTTAGACTCCATGGTGTTCCCTCTTGTATTGTCTCAAATCGAGACAAGGTGTTCCTCATGTGTTTTGGAATTCAAGGTGGCTTACAAACTGCAATTACCCGACTACACCAGAATTCATCCTGTTTTTCACATTTCTCAGCTCAACAAGGCAGTTGGAACAGGACACTTGCCCACTCAGCTCCCTCCGTGTGAGAACTTCTCAGCTAATCAAGTGGAGAGGGCTGAGAGAGTTTGAATCTACCGAGATAGATGACAAATTTCCTTCTTTCCACCTTGAGGACAAGGTGCAAGTTTGGGAAGGGGGTATTGCAAGAGGCTGGCCTAGGCCCTTAATCACATATGCTCGGAGAAGGCCCAAAAGGAATCCTTGGAATTCTGTTAGGAGTTTGTTATGTGGCTTTGGGGTAATGTGGTAATTTTGGTAATAAGTTTGTTATGCCTCTAAGCTGTAGAAGATACTAGTAACTGATTATATATAGGATCAGCGTTACAAGGTTCGCGGTACGTAGCCACGAATCGCGAACTGAGTCGCGCGTATCGGAACGCGGAACAAACGCGACTTGGGTTGCTGGGGTTCGCGATCTGGATCGCTGAAGGAGGCGACTTTGGTAGCAGCTAAGCGGTTATTCTTCTTGTGCAACGTTCAATGGTTTCTTCCCGATATTTCCAATGCATTTTCTCTCTCTTCTGATTTTTACACAGTAGTACATAAGGTGGCGGCTAGGGTTCTGTTCCAAATGGGCTTAAGTCTTTGGGCTTTTTATTATACAAGTATATATTATGTACTCTATTTTCTTAAGCAATTCACTAACCCACATAAATTCAAGCTAGGACTGATACAACTACGTTTTATATTATTTTCCAAATCAAAATCTTATTAATAAACATCACCCATATATTTTATTAATTTATTTATTTCGTAACCCAATCGTACCGGATTCATCATGGGTAGCGTACCGCGTATCCGTTTCCGTACCACGTTTCGCATCGAACCACGTACCTTGTAACATTGTATAGGATTATTGTAATGGAAGAATTATGTTGAATATTGATTAGAGTGAAGTTTGTTGGAGAGAATCCTTCCCCTCGAAAGAAGGAGAGTTGTATTGTTTAATTACTCTGATTATCAATACAGCATATCATTTGAGCTCCCTAATATTCTGTATGTGTGATTGTGTATCTCTGTTGCGAGCCTAGTTCCTAGCATTCTAGTTGCTACTTGAGCTTTCATATGCCCAATTAAGGTTATAATACACATTCTTAAACATAGAGGCATCTCACAATTCAAAATCAGACACCTTTTAAGGAAAGTGATTGTTTAAAATACAAAGCACAAAAGAAAAACCAACCACATCATCCAAAAGGGGGAAAGAAAGAATTCTTCTCCAAGAGAAAAAAAAAATAAAAAAAATGATCGCTATAAAATTTACAACCTACCACTTATGGCTTGTTACACTTAGGGGTGTTACAATGGTACGGCCATACAAGAATAAGAACCCCAAGGGTATAGATTGAAAATTAAATTATTTTTTAAAAGTTGTTTATTCACTCAAAAGTCAAAAGTAGAGTTAGAAGCTATTAATTAGAGGGAGGCATGGATTTTCAACCTTTAGGGGGGTGTGGTCTGGAGGGTATGAGATTGAAGGGGTTTAGAAAGGGATGAGGAACCCTTGGGTATGACATTCCATACCCAATTGTGCTCAACCAAACAAAGTTTTCATAATTAATAGTATCACGCCAATCCATTCCAATATAAAAGCTTGAACCAAATACCCCATTAAAACTACCAAATATCTCTCCCCTAAAATTCCTTGTAACTTACTCTCTAATAAGGTGTTCAGTCAGAGTGCCAACGGATTAGAATTAGAATCACCCTTATTTTGTCAGCCTTCACTATTATTTTATTAAAGAAATATGGCAAGTATATAATTGATGACAAAACCAACTAAAACAAGTGGATCTCACCAACTCCACCGCCCTACCAAGTTAGAGATTGATTCCAAAATATATAATTTTAAGAAGTGTTCATCTCTTCAACTTGTAAGCTAGCTAACAGATTTTTCATTAGACTCCAAAAAAGACAGGAACTTTTCAAAGTAAATCTTCAAAGAAGCCCTCAAACTCTCTGCTCTAAGTGCCAAACCATTTCCACAATCACCGGGCACACCATTTAGTACCTCAACAAAGCACCAACAACCCTCCCCAACCTTCCACAAGAGCCACTGCATATCCACCTTCCTAAACTGAAGCACCACATCTATAAATCTGAGCATTTTTATGATAGAGAACGAGAACTTGGGAAGCCCTCGCTAATCATCTTTGTAGAAATTATAAAGAGTGGGTGACAAGAGTCAACGTAGAAAGAAAAGGTGGAGAAGAGATAAAGAGGAAGACAATGAAAAGGATGGAGACGGATAATATTCTGGTTTAGGAGCAAGGGATGTGTGAAGATAGATTTCGACATGCAGAAGTAAATAAAAAATAAAATATTAAAAAGGAATTTTGAGAATTTCAGCTGGCATTTCACCAAGTGAAATTGTTAAAGGGATTTGAGAAAGAAAGTAATTAAAAATTGCAATGGAAATTTAAGCATTTCAGTTAGTAATTTATTAGCTTCTATAAGGTATGAATTTTCGTATCGCTCAATTTAAGTCTGAATTTTATTTTGAAACAATTTTAACTTTAAAAGAGCACCAGCCAGGACCTTAATACTCATTTATCAAGGTGCAACTTAAATGAAAGGCACAAGTTATAAGTGCAATAAGCTAAGTTAGTAAATATTAAAAATAAATTCACCCTTCGTTACCAAAAGTTTGACTCACTGTAGACTTGTTAATAAGAAAGTTCGAAAAAAGTGGATGAGTGAAAGAAATATGTAGAAAAAGTAATAGATTAGAAGGAAAAAGTGGGTGGGCATAAGTAAAAAGCGGATGAAGTTAGAGATCAAGTAGAAAGTGTGGGGTAAGACTGTAAGAGGGATAAGGTAGTAAAAGGGATTTGCCAAAAACGCAATAAAGTAAAAAGTGAGTCAAACTTTATGAAACACCAAAAAACAGAGAGTGCGCAAACTTTCGAGAGCAGAGGGAGTATAAGATTTTCAGAAATTCCAAAACAATAGGGCTTGCCAATATTCCTGTAGGGTACATACACACAAGAATCATTTATCTTGCCCATTACATACTTACATAGGCAAATAATTGAGAGCATTAATGGCCATTTTGGCCAATGGATGTATGAAAACAATTTATGTACAGTTAAAGCTTATATATGCGCAATCCCAGGACTTGAGGAAACAAAGGAGATCAAGGGAAGATACTGTTCAAATCCTACACTTCAAAACCAAGAACTAACCTTGAAGCCACACGAACATTATACTCCTTGCCAGGATGGTAGAATTCGGCCAGACCCCAATCTATTAAACGGAGTTTCCTCAATTCATGATCTATCATGACATTGTGAGGCTTGACATCTCGGTGCATAATTCCTTGCGAATGGGAGAAATCCAAGGCCTATCAAAATAGAATAGCAACTGCGTTAGCTCATGTAAGTGAGTTTATAAAAACAATTATAAAATCCTAAGCCTCCATCTAACATTCCCACACTCATATTTATTATTTCAGTAGCCTTTCCTCATTCCCCTGTCCCCTTGCTAGCACCAACCCACCAACATGACAATCCTAATTACATGGATAATGAAGTGAGTTTACAAATACCTAATAATAAAATATCAAGCATGAACTACCCGATTTATGCATAACCCTTTTATTAGCACTAAAATATGGCTGCCAATGGTTTTCAACCAAAGAAAATTTACAAAGCATCTGGCCCAGTACAAGAATCATGCATGAGGAAAACATACAAAAATCAAAAATTACCTTCAGAAGCTCGTAGATGTAATAACGTATGTCATAATCAGAAAGCGTTGGATATAAAACTTTGAAATCTGTACTGTTGACATACTCGAAAACTAAGCTTGGTGTTTTGGAATGCTGATCTCTAACAATATCAAGCAGTTTAATAACGTTTGGTCCCCCACACAGGTTCTGAAGAATCTTTATTTCTCTTTTAATCTGTCAAAACCAAATTGAAATCACTCTGACTGAACTTATCATTAAAGCTTGCATGTAATAACCCAGCAAGAGACGAGATTTATCAGGTATAATGTCAGAAACAAAACACACACAAACAGTACAGAAAATAAGCTATATAAAGAAAGGAGAAAAGCCCCAGAAACTGTTTTATAATACCACAACAGCAACCATAGCATATGTGTATTTTCACCTTCCACCTTAAAACTCCATACAAGGCTATGTCCTCTAGAATTTCCAGGACCATCATACATCATCCCACATTCACTAACAGGGCAAACATTACCTAGTTCATATAGCCAAAATCTCACAAGGCTTAAGAGATGGGGAGAAGGTACCAACTGGAATATATATTTGTAGCTTCTACTCTCTTTAGTAGATACCCTTATCTCATTTGACACAGAAAGGAACATAAAGAGAAAAATAGATCTATGCAAGCAAACTTAAATAATTAAATCAATTTATACTCGTCTTGTAACAACAGTATTCTAAATCCTCACTTTCCAAAAATCAAAGCTGATAAACAAGCATCAATAACCATATCATCCCTTGTACATGCACTACGTTAATCGGTGGAAAACATATTATAGATAATAGCACAATAATAAGGAACTAAATTACTCTTCTAAAACTTATTGTCAAGAAATGCATTCCACAACTGCTTCATACCCTTGTGCTGATATCAAATAAAGCTCACCTTTTTCTTCTTCACAGGTTTCAGGATCTTGATAACACATCTCTCATTACTATTGACATTTATTCCTTCAAAAACTTCACTGTACTTTCCCCTTCCAATCTTGCGTACAACTTCATAATCATCTTGATCACTAAAAAAAATAACCATGGAAAGATTGATTATACACATGTAAATCACTAATCCCAAAATAGAAGCTATAACAGAGCAAATGTTTAGAAGGATAGAAAATGCAGCATGCGTGCACACACACACACACACACACCCCACAACAACCCCCACCCCCCCCCCCCCCCAACCCACAAAAGAGCAGAAATAGGGTATTAAAATGTTATAACAGAGGCATTATGTCACAAACCCCAAACCTAAAGCACTAAACAAAGGCAAATCCAATGGTAAAAAAATTTCCCTATTGTCCACAACTCTTAACTTCTGTCTCCACAGATCCTTCCAAGTGTAATTGCATAAATAGAGATACAATGCACCCAAACTACCAAAATCAACATTAACAGCATAACAACCAATTAGTTATCCTCACTGTAATTAGGCACACTGCACAAAACATCCAAATATACCATATGACATTAGTAGTCCCTCTTTAGAGGCAGCATATTGCAATCAATTTCTGTAAAGAACTTGACGTCCACTTAGACAGAACCTTGTCTTTCCAAACAAAATAAGCTAGCTAAGCTTCTGACCTTAGTAGGATGAGGAGATATAATAGATCTAAATTTACAAAGAAAAACTCATAAAAGATTGGAAGACCACATCCTAAGATCTAGTGCATAGCAATGCTAAAAGAGCCAAGAAAAGGAAGCAAAAACTTAGTCCAATCCTAAGACAATCTTCTGAATGAGTTTTTTTTAGAATATCATACTTTATAATATTTACTAACATGTAATTGGAGATATTAACGATTTAAAACATGCATTGGCAAACGTGTCAAAGGGGAATGGGAAAAACTTAAAGGATCAGAGGGAGTGAGTAAACATATCAAGTTACCTTTCATCGAACTCTGCAATGCATTGAGAATACAAACAAACAAAAATCAACCTCTTAAGAAGAAAAAAGAGAAACAGGGACAGCCATGTCACATGCTTTTTATTTGTTGTAGAATCCAATCTGACTACCCTAAGCCTCCTATGCACGATGTGTATGCTACAGGCATAATGGGGAAGGCAATTTCTGTTGTCTGCAGTCATTTATGAGTCTTATAACTTGGCTTGAACGGGAAGTCAGCGGGACTGATATTTAGTGCACAAGGAGAGCTATTATTAAGTGAGAAAGCGAATTAAGCAAGAAGCTGTATAAATAAGTGAAAGGATGTGAAAGAAAAGACATCCAAAAAAACCTGCATTTCCTTCCTTTTGGGACAAAACTGGTGATTTACTCACACTCTCATACATTTGCTCCCCTACTTTTCTACTTTAAACTAAGACTGAAAGAACACCTTGCTTAAATGCTTACACTAAGTATCTCTCCACCATTCAGTCTTCGTTTAAGCAAGGTGTTCTTTCACACCTAGTATCTCTCCACCATTTCAGTGACACAATCATAACACAATGCAAAGCAGCCACTTCATATCTGAACCAAGTTAATTTTTCTCTAATACTATTGTCCTTACCATTTTGCTTTATTACTTTAAAAACAAAAATATGTGGGTAAAAAAACTAATCTCAAAGCCCTACAAAAGATTAGAAAAGAGGAAAAAGTTATCAAATTACTATCATCAAAATCAAAGATCAATATCACTTATATTAAATCAAGCAAAGAAAAAATCTTAATCCACCATTCTCCTAAAAGCCAAATCCTTGTAATATACGCCTTAACTAACAATAACTTATTCAAAAACCCAGAGCTCACTCCAATTATTGACTAGATCAGACCCAAAGGAATCTTTCATGATCTTCTCAGACAGTAGTCCTTATCAGAACCTCATACAAGCAATCAAATAAAAGAAGAAAGAGGTTGAGAAAGAGAAATAAAAGAAGAAAGAGGCTGAGAAAGAGAAATAAAAGAAGGGGGGAAAAGCCGTTTTACTTCCACCTACCCAATAGAAGCTTTCTTCAAAACAACATCCTTAAAGAAAGAGATTTATTGATTTACTGATGAGTAGTTATTGATTAGTATTTCCAAATGCCAATTCCTTCTTGACTCTTGAGATAGACACATTTACCAAACAGCTTAACCAATCTTTCACGATCTTCTCAGTCCTATACATCCTCAAAAGTAACAATCCAAACGGAAAATAAGAAAAACTAACCAACGAAGTGAGGATGAAGGCCATACCTAATCTAAGGGACATCTTCTTGAATAATCAAGATTAAGTACTCCCAACACAATACCACATAACAGATAGTCAGTAATAAATTCTGCAAATATCAACCAAAAACGAAACTGATTTTCCTTGAGTTAATCTATCCACACACGATGCGACACTCTCCAACCTCAACCCGAGACATAGCTCTATAAAGTAGCAGGACACTAAAGCCACAAGCTAAAAACTGATCATATCACCAAACCATCGGAAGACGAAATACTTGTCGAACTCGACAGCAAAATAAAGGTCCGAATCAAACCCTATACCAATTCAACCATTAAAATTTAAAACCCTAGCTAAATAATTTGACTCCACCATACAACCATCCAAACTATCAAGCATCCATAATTCAAAGATCTAACAAATCAAATCATACAACAATTAAACAAACAAACAATAAAATCCATAAATCACCATGCAAATCAATCAATCTAACATTAAAAAATGAAATTAAAATTCGAAAAAAATGAAAATAAGAAATAAAGTAAATACCCCCATTGAACGGTAAGAGATTCATAATCCCAGTACTCGCGAGGTCGGACAACATTAACGTCGGTGTAAACTCGAGCTTTCGACATCGGAGAAAAAGCGACGGCGGAGGAAATTAGGGTTGAAGGTGGGCGGAGGATAGGAGGAAGCGCCACCGGCGCACGGAGAGCGAGAAGGGCGCAGAGTAAAGGGAGGCGGAACAAGAGGAGTGAAATTAAAGGGTTGATAGAAGAAGTGTGAGACTCAGTGACCTTCACAATCTCAATTTTCCATGTCATCAGAATAAAGCACAAGATTCTGCGATCGACTGATTTTTAGTTACCAGATTCACGACATTTTTTTTTTTTTTTTTTAATTTCATTTTTTGGGACTTTTTTATTTATTTATTTTGTTATAACTTTGATTTAATTACTGTTTTATTAATTTCAGTGTCATGACTTGTGACTGACTTTCATTTCATGCTGATTAGATAAGATTAGTTTCATTATATTTCAAATGTGCTTGCTTTCTTTTTTTTTTTTGAGGAAAAAATGTGCTTGCTTTCAACTTAAGTATCCTTCTATTTTTTTTTTAAAAAAAAAAAAAAAAAAACCTTTTAATCTTCAGCTCTTCCTTGTTTTGGCTGGTGGATCAGTTGATCAGTGTGTATTTTTCCCTAGGTAAGGTGGGCTCTTAAGGATAACCTAGTATAAAATAGCTTAGGTCGGTGAAGAAAAACAACATGAGTAAGTTTTCACGATATAAATACTCGTATTTTATTATAAAGCAATTAAACATTCAGAAACCGTATAGATTAACTAAAGAGCTATGATAACAATATTACATTTGGATCAATAACAATCATTGACTTCAAAGTTAAGTATCAAGTTGCATCGAACCTATAAAAAAAATACGGAGTATTATGTATTATCTCACAATGTTATTCATAGAGCGGATTATGTGGAGAACTGGAGATTTATCTCCACGGCTCCACCCATCCTAATTGATAGGGCTGGAATGTTGATGTTCTTTGTACCTAAACTAGTAAACTTCATGACTTGGTTGTACTACCTTGTTCACAAATTGTACATGAAGCCATGACATTTAGGAACAAAAAGAACATGTCATCAACTTCACAAAACATAAATATAACTTCAATGAGAGTCGAAATTTGGTCTCTAAAAACGTATACAGGTAAAACAATGGTTAATTTTATGTTTTGTAAATAAAAATCCGTGTTCTTAAACTTTTCTGCATCTTTATCATCTCTCTTTTGTAACCTGGAAATGGCACGAGAAGAATACTTCTTGCTAAAAATGTACTATGTTATAACTTTTTCCGTTTCCTGGCTGGCTGGCTGCATAATTTATATCCCTAGCATTATAAAAAGCTTACACAAAGTAAAACAAAAGTATAAAGCGGGAGAAATGCATATCTTTACAAGCCCCTTGATGGATTTTAAAAAAACGTAAAGATACAATGATACATGTTACTTTTACCTAAATCTACATAAGTGAAATTTATACAGGCTTTGGTTGTATTTGCTCAAAGTCAAAGACCTCGAACATCAGGCGTCTCACGTCTGGCTTCCCATAAACTGCATAAGAGAGGCCATGAATGGCTTGACAAACAGATTGTGTGGCAGGATTTCTCAGTTTCCGATTGTGCTCATAAGCATCTTGAACCTGGTCAGAGTATATGATGAATCGATGAAGAAACTTCTCTCGCAAGTACTTTCCACAGAACTTGTTCATAAGGACACGGCGATGCTTCTCCTCTAGCCACTTTCCAGGAGCATCCAAATGTTTCATTAGGAGCCTTTCAGCCATCACTAGATCCTGCAGTAGAAGCAAAAAAGATTCATTTATCTTTAGCACACTTGCAATTCACAATATACTAGCATCTTATATAAAGACAGCAGAATCCAATAATGCTAACCTGGATCTTTTGGCCAAGATACTCCAGTCGCTCTAAACAAAACCTAGGATGTTCAAACTTGTGTTTTGATGGGTGCAGGAAACATAGCTGCAATATTTTTAAATATTTCAGAAGAAGAGATCAAAAAAGTTCCACTGGCCAATTCACAGATAAATAAGAATGAATAACAGCATAAGATGAGAAAATAACTTGACAATTTGACATCAATAGATAGAATTTTTTTAAATGAGCATCAGTTGAGCTCAGTAGCAAAAGATATAATAGGAAGGACTAACATTACAAGTCAGTTGGGGCTCAAGTCATCAAATTTTTGTTTTCAACTTGACGATAAAATTAAATTTCATCCTAAAAACAAGGATTTGTGGCATTTGCCAGCATACTGGACTTGTATTCAAAATTAATGTCAAACACTTGAAAAGAAGAAGGCACTCAATATACCTGCAGCCCAAGTCCAAGCTCAATATTCCTAGCTTCAGTGATCTCTGGGAGTCTATCATTCATCCGCAAAGGATAACCTAGTGTTCTCATAACTTGGGGTTTACTATCAAAATCCCATATGTTCCCTCGGAACCGATGCATGCCTGGGGGCACACAAGCTCTAAAAACCCTTGGATGCGCAAAAAGAGCATCCTCTGGAGGCTGTTAGCATCAAGAAGTTTAAAAAAGAATTAGCAATAAGTGTGTGAATATTTCCCTACAAAATAAAATCATCAGAGTGCAACATCCCATAACAAAAAATTCAAGCATCAAACAATAAATTCATCAGAGTGCAACATCCCATAACAAAAGAATTCAAGCATCAAACAAACAGATAATCATCCAAATTTCTTACCCTGATAGCTAAATCTAAGTAACTTAAGTGACTTCTTAGTCAAGTATGTCAAGATTCCACAGGAGCAAGAGTAATGACTTACCCTATATGTAGCTACATCTTGCCAGCTGAGTTTTCTGCCATCAAATTCTGCAGAAACATAATCAACATCCTCAAGCTGCCTTCTTTTCTTCGGCTGGCAATCCTCATCTTCCGGGTCCATCCCAAACACTTCAAAAAGTACACGATAAACTTCTGGCATCCCATAACACAAGTATATAGCCCCAAACAGAGCCCAGAACACAGACCTGTAAAAGGAGCATGAGTTTAATTTTTTTATATATCAATGAAACATCCGGTGTTTAACAGTTCACATACAAAATAACATCAAACAGGAAGACTACAATATAATTTATACAAGGACCATAAATGTGTAGGTGATTTTCCAACTTCCTCTTAAAGACTGAAATTGAGCAAAATAAACATTATTCTTCAAAGGAAATTACGCCTTTCCAAACAAAACAGATCAACATCCCAAACGCAAATTCCAGAGGGAAACGAAATGAACAATAAGGTCACAAGCTCCTGAATTCATTTATTGAGCTAAAAGCCCATTGGGAACTAAAATGAACTCAGGCCAGTATGTTAGTTCTTATTATGACTCCATCAAATCAAGTGCACCATGAAGGCATGGAGTCATGAACGATGATTTAAACAAGTTGGTGATAGGCGACATACAAAAAAACACCTCACATACAGAAAGGCTCCTATTTTCTACCTATCATAGAGTCACCTTTTCAGAGAATTATTCTGTCCTTCGAACATCATTGTAAACTACAGTCATAGTTAAAGGCCTTAAACACTGCTGATAAAAGTTATATTTTTGGACAAAACCCTGGTGCAGTTTACTGAGATAGATGCCAGATTTCCTTCTTTCCACCTTGAGGACAAGGTGCAAGTTTGGGAAGGGGGTATTGCAAGAGGCCGGTCTAGGCCCTTAATCACATATGCTCGGAGAAGGCCCAAAAGGAATTCTCCAGCAACTTGATGCTGAGCTGGAATTCTACCTATCATAGAGTCACCTTGCAGAGAATTATTCTGTCCTTCGAACATCATTGTAAACTACAGTTATAGTTAAAGGCCTTAAACACAACTGATAAAAGTTATATTTTTGGACAAAACCCTGGTGCAAGGGAAGAAACCCACACTGCTTCACATATTTCTTTCTGTCTTTTGGTTATAAAAGGGGCTGAATCGATGGAGAGTGAAGGAAAAGTTCTTAATATCTAGAGATATTAAAGAGCTACAGGAAGCATAAGTATCACTTAAACCACTAACTACTAAAGTTATTTTCACCTTCAAATTCACCTATCCCAAACAAAAATGATTTCCTTGAAACTAAACAACACATTCGTGAACCATAATTTCTTTCATTAGGATTCCTGTAAATGAAATTATGCTTCAATATAATTGCAACAAGAGCAATATCTCAAACCCGAATAACCCTACAACAATTAATCGTTCTTCATACAAGCATATCATACCATACCAAATATCAATGCATTCTTCATGTGCTAAACAAATGCTGCCAAATCATACAACCCATTTCTTTCATTTACACAACCAGCAACAATAATATGAATCAAAACAACTAAAAATCAATCAAAAATAGCAACAAATACAAACAGAAACCAGAACTTACTTCGAAGCCGGCTCTCTCTCATGGCGCCTCAACTTATCAATATCATCAAATGGGAAGACCAAATTATGCAAACTAGCAGCCTTAATCCATTTAGGCAAGTACCTCTTCCCAATCAAAGCAAACACCCTCTCCCTCATCGGCCCCGGCGACTCCCGGGGATATCTCTGCAAGAAGAACTCACACAAAGCCAATTCTAGCACATATTGCCCTAAAAACATCAACCTAGCATGCCCATGTTTCACATGTCTAGCATTCACCCTAGGACAAGAAACATAATAAGGATGCTGAAATGCTAAATACAACAAAGTATCAAATTGTTTAGCAGGATTATCATCCCCTAAATTATCAGAAGGTTCTAAAGGGTACCCTAAAGCTTGCTTAACTTCAAGTAAATACTCATCAATCCAAGTTTTATCGGCATTATTAAGCTTTGAAGAGGGTAAACAAGAGCTTAATAAAGGGAATTGTTTAAGGGACATTTGAGGGCTATCTAAGAATCTCTGAGCTAATTTAGCATCATCTAATGGAGGTTTAAGGATGTATTTTCTAGGGGGTGCTTTTCTTTTGGGGGATATTACCTTTTTACGCTCAGCTAACTCTTTCAGGAGTCTCTGAGGGCTGGTTTTAGGGAGTTCTTGAGAATCCATGGCAGAAACAGCGAGAATTCGGCGATGGCGGAAAAGGGGTTGGGGTTTTTTGAGTGGGATTTGGAGAGAGAAAGATGGGAAAGAAGATGAGAAGGAAAGATCCCCGCATTTTGAGAAATGGGGTGTTTTAATGGTGGATGAGAGGTCCATTGGTAGAACTGGGAAAGAGTATTGTGAGTTGCTTTAATGGAGATTGTTTTGAGGTCTTTAATGGCGGATTTGAGTTGACGCCATTGGAGTGAGGAGAGAGTAAATTGAGGGTTTTTAGAGGGTTTTTAGGAAGAACTGTGAAATTTGGGAAGTTGAGGATAAGGTGGATTGATTGATAGAATAATCGCTGCAATGGCAAATAGGATTCTGAGAGAAATGGAACAAGTATGATGTATGAGGGATAGAGGGAGATTTTTTTTGGGCCTAATTGAAAATTTTGTTTACAAAAACAAAAAAAAATTGTATTAGACCCATGGTATTAGGCCCAATAGATTCATAGAGAACTTTGAATTTTTTAATTTTTTATTTTCTTGTCTGGAAGATGATTTAGTATTCATTACCGATAAATATATACATAAATGCAGTCGTGTAAAATATTTGTCCACCTATTATTATGAAACAAATGGAGTATTTATTATTTATTTGTGCAACAAGTGCCTTTGTCTCATAAAAAAAATAAAAATTGCTGCCAAAATTGCTTATGACATCAATATTTTAAAACTATAGTGTAAATGTTAGTGAGCCAAAAATGTATTAATGACTTTACTTTTCTTGTACACCCTCCGGTTTCAATTATCTGCAACATTTTCCATAATTGGATGCTTCCTATTATCTGCAACAAATTTTTTATTTCTATTTTTAGTAAAAAAAATTGTGTTAAAAGACATATTTGCCCTTACTTTTTTGTTTTAATGTTGTTTAACATTTGTTAATTATACACAAATATATCTACAACACTCTAATGATTCCCACCAAAAATTAAGCCCCTTATACCTTCTGATTTCTAAACCCTTTCAACTCCCAACCACCTCATTGATTGATCTTCATTGAAGATGTATCGATTTTGCTGCCTTCATTCATCATATCTGGAGAATTCTCCAGAAATTATTCATAACCCTTCCCCCTTCTTTCATTTTCATCACTCTCTCTCCTGTTTTCTCTCGTCTCTCTCTTCTGTGAAACCCTAATTCCATTTTTATTTCTTCTCTCTCTGTAACTATGGACGGAAACGGCGATGAGTCCCCTAAAAACACCACCCCAGAACGTAGATCTGAGGGTTCTACGGTGTACACGTTACAGCGAGGCACTGGTATTGTGAAGCCTGTTCGCCATTGCACAACTTTTTTCCGCCGTTACACTCGAGGGAAGATCGGAGCGAAATTGAGCGAATACACTTCCAGTGATGAGGACGAGGAAAAGACGGGTCCTAACCAGGGTAGAGGAGTTCCAGATCTGGCCGGAAAACAAGGTACTGATCTAGAAATAGGTCCCGTTATTACTGTGGAAGGTGTTGCTGGGCCTTCAAACGCTCTTACAGTGGTGTCGGAGTCCTCTGGTGACTCTGAGGTGGTAGAGGTTGTAGTTCCTCAACCCCCTATTGAGGTGGTGGTGATTCCAGACTCACCGGTGCCTGGGGGGAGGGTAAATGGAAGTAACTACTTGTGCTGCCTTCTTATGTTGATGTTTATGGTTGATGTTGAAAATGGTTGAATTTCCCTCCTGGTTTATTTTTCGATGGGTAATTTTGTGTTGGTTGATGTTGAACTGGGTTTACTGTCCTTGTTTGTTGTCCTTGTTTACACTACTTGTTGGTGATTCATATGTTGCATGTATACTAAATGCTTGTTCCTTGTGTATGCATGTTGTGATGTTGGTGATTAATATGTTGGCTGTTTACCAATGATGATTATTGCTGCTGGTGTATGCCTATTTCTGGCTTCATGATTGTGTGAGTCCCATGTTGGCCTAGGGAATGTATGTTGATGTATGATGAGGCATGTGTTGGTGCCTAACAAGTCCCCATATGTATTTGCCTAAGAGTTCTTGCTAGTCTATGCCTAATAAGGATTTGAGATTGAGTCCCTCATTCACTTTTGTATGATTGAGTCCCTCAGTCAATGCTGTTTGATTTGTAACATTCCAAATAATGAAGGGACTCAGTTTGAGTGGGATTTGTAGGTTAGTTTAGCTCCAACAACTGTCTTGTACAGATGTTGTTGAGGTAACAACCCACAACATCTCACTGAAAATAAACTTACCTATCTGATGGAATATAAATTAAACATAATTGACAGCAACACAAACATTTCATGGAAACTGTTCTGTTCTAATCATTCAATGCATGACTGCCTAATAAAAAAAAAACAGGTAATCTACCAAAATACACATAACCAAACCATAATAAGCATGAAAAAACAAACAGTTGCTTACTTTGACAAAAACAAAGGTTTGAGTACTTGTGTGGTTATGTGTGGAAGTCATGCCTGGCTTGAATGATTTTCTTGTTTTGTCCCTAGTCTGCATCCACCTCATACTGAGTGTTGTCAGGGATATCTTGGTTGACAGGGATGAATAGAGTGTTTAGGTGGTCAACTGCTTGTTGAATGAGACCCCTTTCACATTCCAATATTTCTGGAAGTAGACCTAGACTGTCTAATCTATACTTGCCCATATGAGGTGGGTTGAAGTTGTTACCCCCTTCCTTTTCTAAAATTTTCATCATGACCCCTTGCAAAGTGATCCATGTATACTTGTTTAGTATTGGATCAAACCACTCATATGCCTCATATACTTTGTCTATGAGTTCATCCAGGGTAGTAGGAAATGACTGATATTGTAGTGATTGTATGACCTTGAAAAGACCCAAATCCAGCACATTTAGGTCTGGGGATGGTGTAGGCTGAAACACCATTTGAATGTTGAAACCATCTGATGTGCATGCTTCAATGAATTCCTCATCCATACGAATATGATGTGGCCTAGCATTGTCCCACTGGATGAAAATGTCTTTAGGAAGACTAGGATGCCATTGTCTTTTTATTGCTGGAATGATTTTGTGCAGTAGCATTTTCCTGATTTCATCCTTGTTCACACTCTCCACGGCCTTTGTTTCCATCACCCTTGCATCTCTGTTTTTGCTTTTCTTTTTAGCCCTCTGTTGGTAAGTGAATGGGAAGATACCAAACTTTCCATCATGTAACATCTGTCCATTGCAATCATACAAGGGTTTCCCAATGACCCCCCATAAACATGGCTTTAATTTTGTATCACTTTGATTGTTGGCATCTATAGGGGTTTTCTTCCTTTGGTAACAGGTAAAACCTCCTTGTCTCAAGGTTCATATAGAACCACTTCTCATCAATGTGTATGTGTTGTTGCATATCCATGAAAGTTGGGTTACCAACTGCTGGAATTGGGTGTAGATGTTGTAATGCCCACTTCAGTCTTGCCACTTTGTGGTTAGATGTAAGGGCTGGATGATTTGCTGCTGTATGTGTTCTTAACCTGCCTTTTTTTTCAATTTATGGAGAAAGGAGTGTGAAATTTTGAGGGCTGAAGCATAACTCCTTTCTGTTGTCCTTTTATACAATGGCACAGACTGCAAAAACTCATCAGTGATGTCCTTTGGTTTTCGACCTGTTTTACCAAGTTTTTTGCTTCTGACATCTATAACATTCCCTTCTGCTATACTTTTCTTGACAAATTTCCAGAGCCTAAGGGTTGTACTTCTGTGTACCCTATATTTTCTGGCCATGTCTGACAGAAATCCTCTCTTCAGTTCCCCTTCATGCATGTTGAGTAAAATATCATCTACCATTTGTCCTTTTGTGTGGACTGTTAGCTGTTTTCTGCTAGTTGCTTCCTGATGTTGTGGTGCATCCTCTTCATTGTTGTTTTGTTCTTCATCACTGCTGTCAGAATAAGAATCATATTCCATGTACTCATCCTCACTTATGTACTGAAACAGTCCCTCATTCAGTAATTGTTCAATATCAAAAAATTCCTGATCAAAGTACTCTTCCATTTGCTTGGATTACCTTTTTTTTTTTTTCTTTTTCCTTTTCTGCAGGTGTGAAGGAAGGTGATGAAGTCTTTTGTGGCTGCTGAAGTTTTTGTGAAGTGCTGCTGGAAGCGGAACCCTAATGCTGCCCTTAGTTTAGGACTAATTTTAGTGTAGGCAGTAAATATTTTGGACTAATCGAATATGTAATTAATGGGGTTTGTTTTTTTTTTTGGGAACAAATTTAATTTTCAGAATTTGAAGGCCATAGTGGCTGATGGTTTGTAATGAATGAACATTCAATGCTTGCTGCCTTTTATAAGGGGCACTTCCAGGTTTAATGTGTAGGTATAAATTTGAAACATGATAAAATTTGAAAATTTTGAAATTTTGGGTGGAAATGTGAAAATTTCAAATTTTCACACCAAAAAATAAAAGGAGGGAGAATAACTTCCCCTCTTATTTTTGGTGACAGATTTCCATCAAAAAGTAAAGGGGACCACATTACCCCCTTTTTTTCCCACTCAAATTTACCCACATGCAACACTAAGTCCCATGCACTCCTTTCTCTCTCCTATTTCCCTCCTTTTTTCCATCTTAATTAAATACCCTAAGTTGTCATTAAAATTCCCTAAAAGTTTTGCCTAGGAGTCCGTAAAAGTCATCTTTGTTGCAGATAATTGAAACCGGAGGGAGTAAAAGTTATTCCAAAATCAATTAGTTTATAATATAATCAATTAGCTTATATAATTGAAAGAAATAATTTTAGTAAATCTAAATCGTGCATCACATAAATATTAATCTAGTTTAACTAATATTTTCAGGCCCGTTCATTTCACCTCATTTTTGCATAAATTTAATTATTTGTTACTGAATTTAGTAGTGTATATTAAGTTATTAACAAGCATTAAAAAAAAGAAGTTGTAACTATATAACAATTTAATTATCTCACAATGATAACTAACTAAATAAAAATCCTACCAAAAGAGAGTACCAAGGGCCTTGGAGGTAGAGATTTAATTACGACCTTACCCCTATCTTCTACTCCTTAGTATCTGGTTGGCAGGCCTCAAATACTAATTTACTAGATCGAAATAATCGTGAGTGAGACATCTTTATAGGTGTGTTATGGTTTCAAACCATCTTATATGATCCCAGGAGTCACCTCACGTATTCAGTTCAGTTTTCGAAAAAATGTCAAAAAATGACCCGAAATCGTGGATTATAGCCTTTAATTTTGGACAATTTTTCACTTTTTTAGATCCGGAAATAAAAATTGCCGAGATGCTTCCCATGGACCCTAATACACCCCGAGAGTCCATCTGGGTGGGTAAAACCATCCAATATACCTTTAAGCTGTCAATTTACCCGTTTAAAACTTGCACCGATTTCATAAACTCGAGGCTATCACGGACATTTATGGCAACATAAAATGATCATATATGGTTCCAAACAACATAATATGACCCTAGGATGTATCCCCTGGTATCTCGATATTTTTCGACATCGGGTCCCGAAACCTCCGAAATTGGGCAAAAAAACGTGTATTATAGTCTTCAATTTTGCCAATTTTTTACTTTTTTTGTTACCCAGAAAAAAAAATTGCCGAGAAGCTACCTATAGACCCTAATACCCTCCGGGAGTCCAATTGGGTGGGTGAAACCATCCAATTTGCCTTTAAGCATCCAATTTATCACACGCCACTTGTATTGGCTACAAGCTTCCACGAGGCCTTTGTAGCCGACTTATGGTTGTATATGGGTCTGAACAACATCATATGACCTCGGGACGCATCCCGTAAAATTCCGTAAATTTTTGACACCGGATCCGGACACCTACTAAATTCCTTTGATTTCGTGTATTATAGCGTTCAAATTTGACTTCTGTACATCATTTTTTCACCCCGGTAAGATTTTGCATCCAAGTACTTCTATGGGTTCCCAAAGAGTCTTGGGAGTCACGGATGATGCCCAAAACCATCTCATTCATCCTTAATCACCATGTCTTAAGGCAATGATGACATACCCTCAAACGACAAAACCAATTGTTCGTATGCCTTGTCCTTGGGTGCACATGTCTTGTGGCACATGCTACAAACCCCCTTGCACCATCCCACACCCCAACACTTTGGCTTTATCACTTGGAGAGATTACCTATTTGAGAGATTTGAATGAGGGTAGCTCAAGTTATTAGACTTACCCTATCCATTCTAAGAAATCTTGAAATCCATTCTCCCCTTTTTGTTCCTACGGACCCGTTGGCAGTTCATACTTCAAACGGAGTAATCATTTAATCAATAACTCACACACAAATGGAAAACATCAAACTACACACTGTTTGGGAAGAGAAGGTTTGCGGTTTTCCAATGATTGCGTTTGCGTTATCAATCCGCAGGAGATAGGCTATAAATTTGCGCTTCTCAGTTGAACTCTTGGTATGAAACCGCGCTACTTTTCTCCCTGTTTTGTTATTATTATGAATTCAATCAGATTTTTTGCTAGTCTAATTGGGTGAATTTGCTATTTTTACTCTAGTTTAATAGTTGTATGATAAATATGAGATTATAATGTTATGTTGTGTTGTGTTATACATGTAAAGCTGTAATTACTCTTTCTCTCATCTGCATTATCGCTGTTAGATTGAAGCGCTTTATTGTAGTACTTTCAATTGTGTAGTTTAGCTATTAATTATGATGCGAAAATCTAATTGCATTTGGGAAAGAAATTCAATTTGTTATGATACGATTGAAGTAGGGTGACTGCTTTCTTGATGTTTCTATTACAAGAAAAGGTCTTAACTTTATTCCAACCCTCCAATTATTACAATAATAGTTTTCCCTAAATATGTAATTGGGTCTAGTGTAGTGATTATGAAAATCGCTGTTTTGAGGCTGAGGGATTGATTTTTGGGTAGACTATTTACTATTGTGCATCACTTCTGATCAAGAAGTAGTTTGCATAGACCCTTGGCTAAACTAGAAAGGTACTACCTCCGTCCCTTAATACAATGCCTCTTTTGAGCATTTATTCCTCACACAATAAAGAGAAAGAGGCATTGTATTATGGGACGAGGTAGTATGTCATTGTGTGTGTGTGAAAGGGGTTTTTACTTGGGCTTTCTTACTTTTTGACAATAAGCCTTACAGAAATAGTTCTTTTTGAATAATTAAGTGATGATCTAGTGTAGTGTTCATGATAATCATGCCCTTCGGTGGTTGTCGTTTGAATTTTGTATAGACTATACTATATGCAACACTTCAGATCTAAAGAAGTTTTGTTGACCCTTGGTTAAATTAGAAAGGTGTGTGTGTCATGGCCTTGTGGGGCACTTGGGGACGGGGAGGACACTTGGTGAGTTTTTTTTTTTTTTTTCTTTTTTTCTTTTTTGACAAATAGGCCACACTAGGGTTTTCTTACTTTTTCTTGGTGGCTTAAGTGGAGAAAGCCCCTTTCAAGCAACTTTAACTTTCGTGGAGCTATACGGTATATAAATTTGTTATAGATAGATTACGGGAATATGAACTCATTGCAGAATGCAGATCACAGTTGGGTTATGAAGGTTGGAGATGCTGTATTTAAGTGAGAAATCTCTCCAACAAGTAAATTAGGAGTGAATAATCTATTAAAAAAAAAGTGTACAATAGAATTGTGTTGACTAATAAGAAAAGTAAGATGAGTTCTATTGATAAGGAGGGTGAAATTGTGATGGTGTGATTTGATCGTTATATACAAGAATCTGTAGGGCAATAAGACACCCCACCCACTAAAAATTATTTAATCCACTATAACCAATCAATAAGGAGGAAATTGCAATCTTTTAATCCTCTCGATGTCATGGAAATCCAACCTCATGTGCTCACATCCCTTGAAGTAAAGCCATGCTTAATTTGTCTGTGATTATGTGATTTAATCTTTTTCTTTCTCTCCCTTATTTTTCTTACCAAATATTTTATGATCTCATGTTATCTTATCGGAGTATGATTTATTCTTATAAGATTTTTGTAAAAAAGTCTGACCTAAATTTCCCTGAAACTTGAATGGTTTTAAAGTTATTTCCATTGTAAAGTGATCAGAAGTCAGAGCTTATGGGATTTTGTTTAATGTTTCCTTGACATAATATGATTTTTTGACCTATCTAATTATCTGAGATGAAATAAGTAATAAAGATTGAAAATAGGTGAACTAACATGGTTGATAAGGGATTTTAATATCGAGGGCTAATGTCTCAGCAAACCGCAAGTTCTCTTGCATAGGCAAGATGCTTATGAACTTTAGCTGGGAACTAACATTTACATATATGTTTACTTGCATGAGTGGACTGTGAGCTTTGACGGCCATAACTAGGTGCATGCCTTATGTCAAACTGCAAGACTGGCCTGTGTCCTTACTGTCCATGCTAAAGACTTCATTCTTTGTGTCCACAATCGAGAATGAACCCTTGTTAAGCCTGATTGAAATGTCGAAGCACCAAAGATGCTACTCATTTAGCAACCACGATAGAGATATATTGCAATGATAATTTTTTTAACTCCACTTCTTTTAGAATCCCAATAGAAGTGGGGCTAACCTCAGTTTTTTGCAATTTGGCTGTGATTTGACTAATTGGCAGTTACTAGGAATTGTACATATGACAATATGAGGGTGGCCTGGTAGGTCTGGGCCTCAATGTATACTGAAAAACTGCAATGATTGCTGCTGATCTGTAAGTTGTTTAGCATGCATAACAGATATGTGCTTGAATTATTCATTTCATATTTCACCCTGATCATAGTGACATTCCTCTTATTAGTATACCACTGTAAAATATATGAGTAATTATGAATCCCGTTGTTCAACTTAATAGTATATATGAAAAGGTAATGTGGTTTAAATTTTTATTTTATTGTGGTATTTATCAGTCAAATTGCTAGCTTAAAGCAATATTTTCCTTGGCCATAAGGGTTGATTTTACATTTATGAGTATTTTGATTCTTCTTTTCTTGCGCTATATCTTGTCTGATGTGTGTTAAAAAGTTAGCAGTACATGCGATCTTCACAATGTCTAGTGGCCTTAAATATCAAATAATGAGCTGTATGTTATTTTATATGTGGTGGATTAAAAACTCCAAGTTGATTGATTGACCTAGAATTTACTCAATTTATCATCATAAGTTCTCAATTAATCTCAACAATAAAGTTGTCAGTCGGAGTGATCTGGTCGTGGTAAATATACTTTCTTTGTTTATTTAAAAAAACTTCCAACACACCTTTTTGACATGCTAAGTGAGGAAGTGATTAGAAAAGGTAGAGGGACGGATTAAGCTATAACATTTATCTATAACAACTCAACACTTTCTTCTAATCGATGGTAAAGTTATTTCTATTAATTTGTTCACTTACCTAGTTTAAAATCCTTCTTAAAGTGCATGCCAAAGTGGTATGTTGCAAGTAAATAAAAACAGAGGTAGTACATTTTTTAACTAAAGGTGGCTTGATTATGTTTGTCTGTGTTGTCTTTAGTTGCTAGCTAACTCATACAACTTATCTTAAAATGGTGGCATGGTGTCACAATTCCAATTTTTTAGGAATTCAGAATGGTGCTATAATTATAGATGCGAAATGTTGTATCAAACATATCTATACTTCTGTTTTATAGGCTAGATCCTAAATCTTATGTGTCACCCATCCGCTTTCTTTATCCTGGCAAAAAAATTATAGAGTTTAGAGGCATTGGGTTTGGGGTATGTTAATGTTTTGATCAACAGTCTTTTAAATTTTGACTATATTTTAAAATTCCTGCAGCTGGGTATCAAAGATCCAAACCCTTTCACATTTAGTATTATATACGTAAGAGGTAAGACATGTTATCCACCCCCACAACAACAATATAGTGCAGCCTTGCCAAAGTAGGGCTTTGGCAGAGTAAAATGTATAGCTTCACAGTTCACACAGAAGCTTCATTGTGCATAGAACAATTTGTGATGGTGGTTTATGCCTGTTTAGGCATGTGAATTGGCTGCTTCTGGCTGATTATTCTGAATTCTCTCTTTCTTTTGTGTTTATTTCACTAGTTAGGGGCCTTTATTTTCAAATGGGACAGGTCACAGGTAGCACGTAGTGATTTATCCCGAATGTCTTAATGTTCATGGCAGGTGGAAATTTGAGTCTTATGTGCCTTAAAAATTCCTGCTTCATGACTGAAAGAGCAGGCGCGTGATTATCATGTCAGAACTTTTTAAAGCCTTTAGGCTACTTCCAGTCATGACCCCTTTGCTTCTGTCAGTTGCGACAAGTGCTTCATGTCAATTGATATGCCAGTTTAGCATATGATTATATGTTAAATTATTACGGAGTATTAGTTTTTTGTGTTTAATCATCTTAAACATGCTGTTATTCCAACATTCTGTATATATATGCATTTCGTCTTGGTTGATAAATGACATTGGGTCTGTGAAGGGGAGGGAACATATGAAATTATGCCCCAGTGGTTGAGCGTTCAATTTCATAACTTTTATTAAATGAGATAACACAAACAAAAACCTTTATGCATGTGGCCTTTGTCTCAATAATTACAGATGCATTGTTTGCATATTGTTGTCTTTAAGTGGTTTTATGTTTTTCTTTGTGGGTAATATAATGCCAGAAAGAGCAGCCTCTTGCTCTTGTAGCTAGCTGGTAGCTACTTGAACAGTGCTTTCTCTTTCTCCCTTCTGGATCATTACCAATCCTTTTCTAGGTGTGAAGAATCCAAATGTTAGTGTAAAAATAGAGTAGGTAGCTTACAGCTCAACAAAAGATATGTGTCTGTATAATGCAATAACAGCATTGTATCCTGAAGGACCCATTTATCATTTTATCTGCATGATGATATATTGATGTGATTTGACTTAAACAAAAGCTTCAATATTTTTTTTAGCAATATGTTAACCTTCATCTATTGCTTTCTCTCCCATGGCTATTATAAGATTATAACTGTAGTTGGTACTTTTCTGATTTACATTTTACAGGATCAAATGATTAATGGTCGACCACTCAATCAATCAATGGGTGACTACTCGACCCAGAAAAATGATGGCTGCAAAATAGATTGTGAACCTCAACTATTGGCACGAGTTGGCTATGGTATGATGTTTTCATATTTACTGACATGACTATTTCCCTTTTTTTTTTTTAACCCCAAACTGCAGCTAGTTACATGCCTTAACATACTTCTTTTGTGTGTGTGTGTGTGTGTGTGTGGGTTTGAATGGTAGAGTATAGAAGTCTTCTTGTTATGTGTCATTTGGCTTGAGAATGATGACTTTGGGTGTTCCAATACAGATTGTAACAAAGTACTGACCCTGATATGTTAATAGTTTCTCAATTTTATGCAGAAAATCCCGCTGATAACATGTGCTGTCTTGATTCTTGTCATGAAAGAAAAGTACTCTAATTTTATTCTAGAAAGCTCATCTTCTGGTGCTGGTTTTCCTTGTGGGGAAACTATTTGACTTGGGTCACCTACTGGTGTCTCCTTGATTTCTAAATATGAAAATGAAAGAAAACTAAAAGAGAGGGCCGTAGTCTTAGGTTCAAGTCTTCATACAAGTATTTTTTTTCTCCAGAAAAAAAAAAAATAAATAAAAATAGAGGGGCCGTAGATAACTTTTCCTGGGGAAAGTTTGCATAATTCTATCAATTATTAATTGAAGTCTTCTAGAAAAGATAAAGCACTCTGATCTTGACAGATCTGAGCCTTTTGGGGTATGCAAACATTTCTATGTTACCTTATCTGTTACAAATTTGATCTAATAATGTTTTTTTCCTTGTCTTCTGGCTTGGTAGGACTTTTCAAGGCTGGTTAAGATCAAACAAGCCAATCGGTGGATCCATGTGGATAGCTGGATCATTAATCTGTAAGAATGTGGCAATTTTTTCGTGCACCCGGGAGTACCCAAGATAGCGCTCCTGATTTGGAATGTGCACATCACGCACGCGGCACACGCGCATGGAGAGGCTTGTGTTTGTCACTTAGTAGAGCCACATTCTGGGTACTCCAGGCTGCACCATGCATACATATATATGTTGGTAAAGCGTGATGGTTGTTAGCATCACTGCTTTGGCTAATTTAAATAGGCCCAACTGATAATATATAGAATATACATGAATTTTGACAAGATTGTCCAAAGTTAATTACAGTAGTTTGATTATAAGAACAATATTACTGGTGTTTTGAATGCCGCAAATCAATAATTTTCGTACAAGAACTAAAGATTGCCTCTATTGCTCACAGTACGTGCATTCTGGAGTCTATCAGTAGTTCTGTACAAGCTAGTGTTTGTTGGTTGTTGTGTACATTTGAATTTTACATACAAGCAAAATCCAATCCGTTGTGACCGTTTTCTTATATTGTTGCGAAGAAATAAATGCTGATTGAGACACATTTTCAACCCCTCTCTCATATATGTTAAAACCAACTAAAACATTGAAATAATCTCCATTATGATGCCCATTTTGGACTGATTATTAATGATGGTAAGATAAAACCGAGTTTCTATTCTTGGCATGCAAATGTACCCCTAAACATCGTTACCAACTAAGCTGCTTGACATTCACCCCCCACGATAACTTTTAATCACAACTAGCTACAAGTGATGGTTCGTATTTTCTTCAATATTGATGATGATTAGGACAGGTAAACATGGGTACTTCTTGGATAGTTGGATTTGAGATGTTTCCCACATGGAAAATCCAGCGAGACTTTTAACTAGTGTTTTACATAATTACATATGAAGTACAAGGTCTATTTAGCAAAGCACTCTATCTGATCCTATTTTGTTATCTTCCTCAGCTTACTACCACACAATTATGGAGAGATTTTGGAGGACATCCTTCATTTGACATATCTGTCCATTTTCATTATCATTATTCCCTACCAAGATGTGACACTTTCTATGGTGGCTTTCATCCTCATACTCGAGACCCATTTGTGTAATTTCACAGGTTCGATGATTGTGTATTACCAACATTATTTCTTACATAATTCTTCATTGGAAATTGAGCTTCTACTGTCACTGAACAAAATTTAGTTCAGGATTTTCATTGTGAAAAAAAGATCAGGGTAGAAAACATAGTAGTACCCAGGAAAGAAAAGGAAATCATTTCAGTTTGATTGAGTGACTTTTTTCACCACAACTTTTTTTTTTTTCTTGGGGTGAAGTTGGTTCTACTTTGTCTTCTTTACTGCTGCTTTTATGGCCTTATATTATGGCACTGTTCTGATGTGATTATGATAATAAAGGATTTTGGTTTCGGTTTTCGATCCTTTTCATGATGGGACTTGATCAAGAAGAAGCTCCACTTACTACTGGTGACATGTCCTCTAAGAAGAAAGAGCTGCTGTCTTCAGCTATGAAGAGAACAAATGAATGGTTTGCCTCTCATCTCCTATTTATATATTTATGTTAATGCTTTAATTATTATAATATATATCACCGACTTTTTTTCCTAGAGATGTATGTATCTTGAAAGTTTATCATAAAAATTAAATTATAATCATTAATAAACAGGAGATTATTGATGTAACTTTTGTAATTGCAGGATTATCTCTCAGGAAATTCCTAGTGATGTCACCATTCGTATTGGTGATGATTCCTTTTCTTTGCACAAGGTAATTTTCACTGTTATAGTTGAAAAAAGGAAAATCTTATACAACAAAAACATCCATCTTCCTTTTTTTTTATAAATTTATTTTATTTGATGTGAAAAAAAAAAATGGCACTTAACATAAGCGTAGCTGAAGGTTTATATACTTTTTATGTTAAGTGCAGTTCCCACTCCTGTCAAAATGTGGATACCTTAAGAAATTGGTATCAGAATCTAATGATTCTGATGTCTGCAACGTTGAAATTCGGGACATTCCGGGAGGAGCAGAAGCTTTTGAGCTTGCAGCAAAGTTCTGCTATGGGATTAATTTTGAGATAAGCACTGAAAACATTGCCATGCTTCGATGTGCGGCTGAGTATCTTGAAATGACAGAAGATTTTGCAGTAGAGAACCTTGTTGGAAGGACTGAGACATACTTGAATGAAGTAGCATTAAAGAGCCTTTCTTCCTGTGTTTCGATTCTGCTTACATCAGAAAGCCTGCTACCTATGGCAGAGCAAGTAAAGGTAGTGAGTCGTTGTGTTGACGCTATAGCTTTTCTAGCCTGCAAGGATAGCCAATTCTCAGGGACCAACAGGATGGAAGGCGGCATTGAAGAAATCAATTCTTCATTAGTTCCTCAGCAAAAACCTATCGTGGAGTTTTGGTGGGCAGAAGATTTAACTACACTTAGAATTGATATGTTTCAAAGGGTTCTGATAGCAATGACAGCTAGAGGATTTAAGCAATATGCTCTTGGTCCACTACTCATGCTCTATGCTCAAAAGTCTCTTAGAGGTTTGGTGAGATGCCCTCCTCAATTACTTTTTGTTCATGTTTTATTTAGCTGTTCAAATTCCTAACCTATGTTTTTGCATCTTCGGTTTCCACTTCTGTTATTTGATGGTATAAAATCAGAGAGTAAGGGAAAAACATTTACAAATTCCCGTCAATGTAGGAAATATTTAATATCAGGAGAGAATATGTTCCTTTCTGCCTTTCTGGTTCCGCTTTTCTTCATGCCCTGATTCTTCTTGATTCGGATTTGTGTAGTAATTTATCTTCTTACAGTTGGAAAAGTATTTTTAAATTTGCCCCTTGAATATATTGTGTTTTAAAACAATGATAGCCTTGTCCTATAAAACTTTTAATGTTAGGAATTTGTATCTGAGAAATACTTTGCACTCGACCTAAGGAACTAATCAATTTTCCTCCCCAATACTAATTTTTTTGACCCAATTGAGTCATTATAGAAAACCACACAAGAGTGTTATTCTAGGCATTGTTTATGATAACTTCTCCCTATCTCTTTCATAAATTCACACACTGTTATGATCTTGTGGAGCAGGAGGTGATCGGTAAGGGGAGGAAGAAATTGGAGCCCAAGCAAGAACATGAAAAGAGGGTTGTCTTAGAGACCATAGTAAGCCTGCTTCCCAGGGAAAAAAATGTGTTATCAGTTAGTTTCCTAGCCACATTGCTTCGTTCTTCAATATGGCTCGAGACAACAGTTGCTTGCCGCCTTGATTTGGAAAAGAGGATGGCCTTACAACTTGGTCAGGCAGCCTTAGATGACCTTTTGATACCTTCATATTGTTTCACTGGGGACACCTTGTTTGATGTGGATTCAGTAAGGAGGATCATGATGAACTTCCTTGAGAGCGAAGTGGAGGGTAATCATCTGGGTTATGGTGCTGGGGAGGAACATGTATTTCCTCCTTCTAATGACTTGGAAAGAGTGGGGAGATTGATGGAAAGTTACTTGGCTGAGATTGCCTCTGATCGAAATTTGACAGTTTCCAAATTTACTGGTCTAGCTGAGATCATTCCTGAACAAGCTCGAGTCACTGAGGATGGGATGTATAGAGCTATAGACATTTTCCTCAAGGTATGTTCTGTTTAATTTTGCAAATTCAGTATAATAACATCATCTACTTTATTGATATTAATTCCACTGATCAAAGAGCTGCTAATTCGAATTAAAATACCTGCAAAGTTCTGTTATCTTATTGCAGCTATTGTCGCTTTTACTTCTTATTGCTTCAGATTTCTTTCATCCTGAAATAATACAATATGTCATGTTTGAATTTAAGGTCAAATATATAAACACTGAATATTTTTATATCATTATCACATTATGTATTGTTGTATCGACGCATTTAGGATTGGCCTGTTTTGTAGACCGATCCCTGAGATCAGGTGTTCCTCCCTAAGATATAGTCCACGTATTCCATGCCTGTCTACTTGAACAGTTGATAAAGATATCATACACTCATCACCTTAAAATAGTTCTAGATTTTGCAAATATGAATGAGAAAAAATACCTTGATTATCTCAAAATTTGCACTAAAATATGAATGGCCGTCCATAATATCATATTGCATTTGTTGTATAAGGTTGAGAGAAAAAACGTTGTTGTGCAAGTTTGTTAGAAAACTTTGCAGGCTCATCCTACACTAATTGACCTGGAGAGGAAGAAAGTGTGCAGCTTAATGGATTGCCAGAAGCTATCAAGGGAGGCATGTGCTCATGCGGCTCAAAATGACCGTCTTCCTGTCCAAACAGTTGTTCAAGTCCTCTACTACGAGCAGCAACGCCTTCGTGAGTCCATGAATGAAAATAATGACAGCAATTTCAACTCCTCTACAGGAGCCATAATCCCTAGCAAAACTCTGAACCTTTACTCCTCGACTACACCCTCTGCAGATGAGCTTGTAAAGCTTAAGCGGGAGAATGAGGACCTGAAAATTGAGCTCCTTAAATTAAAAATGAAGTTGAAGGAAGTTGAGAAACCTAAGAATATGATTGATAATAATACATCTGTTACTAGCAGTCCTGCAAAAAGTACTACGTCTGCTTCTGATCAAAAGCCGCCTTTGCCTAGGAAGTCTTTTATGACCTCTGTGAAGAAATTAGGGAGGCTTCTTATTCCTGCTGATGGAGGAGTACTCTCAACTCCTCGCCGTGCTAAGGCTAGTAAGGGTCGTCGCCATTCCATCTCTTAAAATTCGATTTACATGGTTTGTCTTGTAGGACTTTTTTGGTAATGTACAGTTTGAGCTCATGATTCAGTCAGTATTTTGAGGATTGAGAAAAAAAAACTGCACTTTCTTTTCTTCAACTTCGGTTTGCTAAATGTATTGTTGTGTAGTATATGTATTTGTATATTATCTGTAAAATTCATTTTATATCATAAACATGATATAATCAATACTTCCTCCGTTCTTTTATTATTGCACCACTTTCCTTTTTAGGAAGTTTCACAAATATTGCACCATTTCCTCTTTAGGAAAAAAATTATATGTGTTCACATTACAAATACCCAACATACCCTTTCTTTTTCACACTTACTTTTTAGTTTATCAATATGTTACATGGGCAATTTTGTATTTTTATCTTTCTCTTTCTTACTTTTTTCCACTACCAAAATATTTACACCCAACCCCTATGGTGCAATAATAAAAAAACGGAGGAAGTATTATTAGTATTGCTTTTATTGAATCATGGGCGACACTTGATTTAGCCTAGGATTGCTATATGGTGGTGTTAATGATTTGCTATAATACTTAGATCACCATTTTCAGAGGTTTGATGGAGTTCAATTGTCTGAATTCCAGAGGAAGCACTTAAGTACTACCTCCGTTAATTATTATGTGCAACAAAGAAATATTTTATGTCTCACAAATAATACCCCTTTGTTGCACATAATAATTAACGGAGGTAGTAGTTAAATTCATCCTTTAATGAGATTTTTTAACTCCATGCCTAATTTACCGGTCAAAGGGAAATTGGGCTGGTCAGGTAGAATTATATGCAATTATCATTCATTTGGGCCTTAAAAAATGAGCCATCTCATTCAAAAGCCCATCTTATAACAATCTGTTCTCCAATAAGTGTAAATCAAAAATTTAATAAACAAAAACAGTACTATAATGATCCAATAATGATTAATTTGTAGAAATTATCTTGACTAGGTAAAAATTGATTTTAATCAGTAATAAATATTTATATTCAGTCAAGATCAGTAGAAAAATAATTGAATTTTGTAACATGTGACCGTCTAGATAACTAATTTAAATGACTAAAAATAACAACATAATTGATGAAAAATGACAACACAACTATTAGTCTATTCTCCGTGTTAAAGTACAATTATTTAGTATCAATAAATGTTGAAAAGTCAAAACAATTAGAATTACACATATATCATAACAAAAGCAGAATGTGTAAGGACAATTTGAAAGATAAAATCGTGAAAGACAACGATACTTGGGACATTTATACAGTTATACTATTCTCTCTTGAACTTTTTATTATAATTAGACTAGAAAAATTCAGATGTGACTAAACCAAACCATTAAGATTTAGCTAAATTTATACAAATATCGATCAAATAATCATAAATAAGGAGAATAGAACACACCCCTAATTAGCAAGAAAAACTCGAAATGAATGATTCGGTGGTGGGGGTCGTCTTAGAAAGTATCCTTTATACATATGAAATCAAAAAAGAAAGTTTAAAGTAAAGATAGAGTAAAAAAAAAAGGACAGGCTAGCAAAGCATGATTCTGGGTCATACATACAATGTAACACTACACAGTTGGTTACAGGAAAGTTCTATCTTTGGGGAAGAAGATTAGGATACTTCCAAATAATGTTTTTCCAAAATTAAACAGAAATCATTAATTAGCTAAATTATGAGGACAGGGCAAAACCATTGATGGTAGTAGCTGGTTTGTAATTTAATTAATTCAAGACAAGGAATCTCTTGTTACCATTTGGTGGCAGACACAAACAATTCAAAATCAACTATTTTTGCAGGTTCCAACTATACTCTTACAAGACTACTACTGTATATTCTACTATCTTTTCAACAACTTATACACTATTATACTCCCTTTGTTGTCTAGATAATAAACTAAGAGAACTTATCAAGGGGATTACATTATTATACGTTACTTCCTCCGTCCTTTTTTGTTTATTCTGTAATTTTGTTTAAGGTGCTCTTTTGAAATCGCTTTATTATCTTAATAGGTAAATTTCTTATCTGTAATTTCAGCTTAATTGGTACCGTCTCTTTGTGCCCTCTCTCTTCTCATTAACGTAACCGCATTTGCAACCCTATGTGCATAGTTTTGTCTCACTTCTTAATAAAGTGAACTTTGTGAACTTTGCTCTATAAAGAGTCAAAAGGTGACGTGGAAATATACTCGTAAATTTGTAATCGCGTTTATATTAATGTTATACTCATTTACGAGTTCTATTAATAATAGGAAAGATTAAAATTAAAATTATTAAGTACTAATAACACAGATCGATATATACAGAGTATATGATTTTGTCATATATTTTGAATTTGGAGTAGATAATGTACTAATCAAATGGACAATCTACCTCAAGCTCAAAGATGATATATTTGCCCAGTACAGTCCGTAAAACCGTAACATAAGAAGGAGGCAATTGTACACTATTTAACGTATTATATATCTCTATCTGTTTAATTATCTTAAATAGCGTGGTTAGTTTGATATTCTACTAATTCATTAGGGCAGCGTAATTAAACTAATTAAGACAACGAAATTAATTAGCTACTGTCTTTTATGAAGAAACTACAACGTGGGACGGGAATAATTGGTCATATGCTTTCATTTATTTCTTAGAAGATGTTGCGGTATCATATCTCTTTGTTGGATTTATTTTCAGCTAAGTCAATTTAATTACAGTATACAATATGAAATATGCATGTATTAGTATTAGAATTAATGGAGAGATATTATCATATTAGATCAATAAAATACTAAAAAAAGAAATTAGTGTGAGATGCCCATCTAGAGATTGCATTGTAAACATGCAGTTTACACCAATTCTTGAAACAATCTTAAAGTGAAAAAAAAGAGATTCAATCTTAAAGTGGAGTAAGACTTGGCCAATGATAAGTTATGGGATCAAATTTCAATAGGCGCTCTTTAGGGTAGATTTTGTTTATCCTTCCCTCTAATCACGCGCACACGCAATGAGTTTGAATAGCAAATTTAGAAGCTCGAATAGGCATATACAATAGCAAGGATGTAAAAATGAAATTCCTACTTTCTAAATTCAATCCTTTAATTTAAGAAATGAATTGAAGCAAGGTGTTATTTACAGGTTAGGCATAATGGGTAGAAATTGATGAAGATCTTGGAACCTGTCTCATCATACAACTAAACTTGTACATAGCCAGGAATCAAGGATACAACAACTGACAATATTTGTCTAGTTCTGCTGATACCATTTCCAGCCATAGAATCTTTGCCATTTTTTTGTGCTAAAATCTAGGTCCCATATAATATCTTTACCAAATCCATTTTCTAAACTGCATAACTAATTCAACATTCGTTCAAAAAAAAAAAAAAAAAAAAAAAAAAAAAAAACTAATTCAACATTACATTTTAAATTGAAAAAAAAAAAATCTAAATCTAAACATGTAAAGTACTTCTTATATCTTTAACCCAATAGAATTCATGTTTTGAATGAGAAATGTGATAACTAAATCCGAACATCAACATTATATGAAGTACATACGTACTCTACAAATAGGAAGTTTTAACAAATCTAATGACTAATCTTTTGTAAGATTAACAAGGTTGTCATTTCAATAACAATTTTAAACTTTTTACAAAAGGCCTCTACTAATGCCTGATCAATCTGTCAAATAGCTTCTCCATTAGTCTCCAAATAAAACTAACAGCAAAAGAGATTTTTTTTTTTAAAAAGTTAAAAAAAAAAAATAAAAAATTAAAATAAACAAAAGAACAACTCCACACAAAACTACAGATAAACTGAACCTAATAAACTCAGTTGGTTAAGTCAGCTTCAAACTCAAAGCTTGGTACAACCATGGAGGATTATTATTTTGTTGACTATTCGAGAACCCGGGTTCGATGCCAGAACCTTGAGGAAAACCACCCCATGTCGTCGTCGTCATTGAGCTTCTACTAGTGGTAGTACTAGTATTATTATTCTTCGGACTTGTTTTTCTAGTCTGGCTTGACCCCGTTGAGGAAGACGATATACTTTGACCTGACTCCGACTTGCCATTCTTTCTTCGTCTCGGGTTATATGTAGTTGGACCTAAGCTTAGAGTGAGCTCAATCTCATCACCTTCATCTAACACCATCATTTTAGTATTATTATTATTATTGCCCTTGGATTCTGCAATGTATTCATAAGCTTGGGATGGTCTTGGACCGCCGTTGCTTGTTAATAATACTTGATTATCAGGTCGCATTACATTTAATCCCACCATAATATCGTTGTGGTTGATCTTCGTTTTCGCAATGTTATCTCTTTGTGCTTGTGCTTGTAGAATTAGTTGTTGTTGATAATGACCAATTGTAAAGGCTTTTTGGCTGCTTTTGACCAAAGGGTAACGCTCGAGTTTTTGCGGTTTTTGTTGTTGTTGTTGTTGGCTTACTCCAACACTTTCCATTAGCACCTTCTGAATTCGGTATAAACGATGAAGTTCACTCACCTAAAATTCAATAATTTTAATCATGTTAATTACAACGGAATTTATATTGTTAATTATATATAAGTAGTTTATACAAAAAATTCAAAGATATAAAGTATGTAAATATTTATTATTACCTGTTCTCTGAATGTTTCTTCATGCTTTAGCATCGCCATTCGCATAAATTCTTTATCATTATTGGACTTTTGAGTCTCCATTTGTTGAAGAAAGAAAAAAAAAAACGATAGTTTTTTTTTTTTTTTTTAAGAAAACGATTGTAGAATCAAGTCTTCTTCCGATCTTGTTCCTGAAATATGGAGAAAAAAAAATTAGGAAGGAATTAATAGAAAGAAAGACACTTAAGATTTTATGACAATTTCTATTTCCCTATTTGATTGGTTAAGACCAAGCAATATGACAAAAAAAAAAAAAAAAAAAAACATAGTAGAATAGTAGGGCATTATTTTGGACCTCTTATGAAAAGGTAATTTGGTGTACATTAGCTTGTATATTTTTGTACACCTCTATTACTCCATATAATTTGTTTCATATAATTTATTGCTTAAATTATCAATGGACTATTTCTTAACAATTTAAAATGTTGATGTGATGTAACATATTAAGTTTGAATCTTAACGTAATAACATAAAACTCTCTTATAAGTTGCGTGTGCAATTCTATACTATGTGTCGTAATGTGATAAGATATGCCCAGAAGAATATTAATGGCCCTGCAAGTTTCCAAATAATATCTTACCCATCAAATTGTAGGGGCCATATAAAACACATCCAAATGAAATCAAACCTTAGGTTATATGTAGATTTCTAGCCAGTTAGCTAAATTAGATATTTCTAGTAAGTGACAAATCATTTTCACCAAGTTTTAATCACACATATACTCATCTCCTTTATTTCTCTATCACTTTTAAAATTCTGTGACTTTGCATGCTTCTCTACAGTTTTTATTTATTGTGGATCTTATTGATTATTCTTTCCTTCACATCAGGAGTACAATTCAAACATACATGAAATTTATAAAACTTTCTAAATTCAAATTTAGAACATAAAAAAAAATATTCTTAATTACCTGTAAAATATCTCGGATTTAGATGAGAAGATGGACCAACAATGATTCACTTGAAGATCGATTGATGACGATCTCTCCGTATGTACTGATGGACACTTTGTTCCTTGATTAATGCACTGACGACAATTTCCGGTCCTCTCAACAAAAAAAAGAAAGGATAGGAAGATGATGATATATGATATGATGAAGAAGGCAAGGAAATTTTCCTTTTTACAAACTCTGAATATAAGATTTGGTTGAAAGTGAAAGGGATTAGATCACCTGATCTGGAAGTAAATCTTCAAATATATATATAGTAAGAGGAGGAAATAAAAAAGAGAGGGACCAAAATAAAAAAGGGAAGAATATATAAATTTCAGATATACACTAGTGATGATATAGTATATGAAATGGTTTATATATAATAAACTTGGTATGTAACTAGTAGTACTAGCAAACACAGAAACCTATGAGAATTATTGTTATTGTTGTTGGAGTTTGGTGGTTTTGGGTGTTCCAACTTTTGGCATGCCAAACAAATCCCAGAATAAAACTCTTTAACCAATCTGATTTTAGATTTGTGAGGAGCTAATTTGGTTAGGAGGAGAGAGAAAATGGAAATATAGATGAGATGTTATTGACAGTCCCAGCAATTGCTGCAGGCCTTATTATACCCCCTCTATTAAGTCTGATCCTTTATATTATTTCTTTAATTAATTAATTAATGATACCATGCCCTCCTAAATATACACACTTATTATAGGACTAGGATCATCACATTATCTACCCCCTTTTTTTTATTGATTAATTATGTTTATGATATAGTTTTCCTTTTTCTTTGGAGGGCGGTGTTATAACTTATAAGAGAATATCACCAGCTAATTAAAGGGTATTTTTATATTAGAACCTAAATCATTATTAAGTTATTATCATGCATTAATGATATGTATGATGATCCTTGTTACTCTTAGTCGTATAGCTTAATGGATGAGGGGAACACCGTACATAAATCATATGGAGTAACGTTTTTTAAGTTTTAGAACGTATCAAGACTACTAATTTAATAGTATCTCTAATAAGTAACGTAAACACATAGTGTTATTAAAAAAAAAAAAGTAACGAAGGACAAAGTAAGTATTTCACGAAGTGGATGATCATCAGCTAGCTAGCTAATTCAGTTGGTTAATTCTTGAAGAATACATGGTACTTAAACTTGTGATCAAATCTCGTATATATCGATCTAGTTCAAAATACTCGCAACATAACGAAGATTAAAAGATACTAAAAAAAATGTAAGAAAGAAATAAATAGAGAATAATAGTGGAAGAATAATAGAGAGCTCCAGCTTAATTAGCTAACAAGACGGCCGATTGGAGAATCACATGGAGCCAAGTAATGTATGTAATCTGATACAGTTGGCTGATGACTTAATTAAATAATTAAAATGAATAGTACAAATTAAATTAAATTAAATTAAATTTAATGATAATCCAAATTAAATCAAGACCAAGTTAGTAGCATCACCCACCGGGCCCGCCGACAAAATGATCCTCACCGTACGATCTTTGTGAGTACCTCTTGGAATAGTCCAAAAGTTCTAACTCTAGCCGCAGGATCTTCAATATTAATCTACCAATTGCTTTATTATTTTGATACCTCTTTTATTAATTACTTAATTAGTTGATTAATTAATTATATTGCTGTAAGTTAATTATTGTAAGATGCAACATTTAAGGGAGATCAGATTATTAGGAATAATAAGAGGGGTTAGCTAGTGCTTAAATAATGGAGGAGTTATATATATGCATGATCATATTGTATGATGTAATATTATTAATTTTAAAATAGGTGGGTCTAATTGGTTGGATTTTAATCAAATATATCCAACCACAATGATTGTGGATGTTTAATTGGAGCATGTGGATAGAGTACTAAGAAAATCAATCTAAGATTACATCTCCATGTACTTTCTAACTGGCATACAGCTTATATATTAATTATGATTTTATTCATTAATATTATTAAGATTATGTAAGTAATATAAAATTATGTTTCTAGTATTTATATTATCAGATTTTTCAACTTTCATAAGGAATATATATGTTCATGACTTCATGTCACTTAGATTTTACATGTATATGCAAAAAGGGGGACATAAGTCTGTAATTGCATTTAAGTTTGTTGACATATGATCACTACATAATATATATACCTTAATTATGTATACACCTTAGTTTTTATATTATGCATGTCAATCATCCATATATATATTAGTTAGAGAGTAAAGAAGAAAAAGCAAATCACTATACTTTGTCTATAAGAAACTTCTCCCTTCTTCAATTTCCCCATAAATAATATTAAGAAAAAGTTAGTCCATTTACCTTGGTTAGTACTAATAACATAACATAAGTGGGACGACGAAGCATAATTTAGGGCGTGTAGTAAGGTTATTTTTAAGGTAGGCCTAACTTTGAAATCTTTGTGTCAAATAAAAGACCTATTTGCCTTTTTGATCATGCATGGATAGTAAAGCTAAACCTTGAATTATGTCAATTAATTTAGTCAAATATTTACAAATGGAATCCTTTAGCTTTATTTAGGCTAGCTATAACCTCTTAATGTTGTTTTTCTAGAAAAAAAAAATGACAATTTCATTTGTTGCATCACACACTTAGTTGATGGTACAACGTTATCAGTAATAACTTCAATATTAGAAAGTTGTCACTAATTTCGGACACCTATTCTTTATGTTATGAAGCAGTATTTCAATGTTGTGCATTAAATTAGTTCTCCTTGTTGGTCATCTTAACCCTACTTCATAGTTAGCTTCAGTTTTACATGATTTCAATATATAATTATAATCCGTATAAATGCCTCACACAACATCAGTCAAGATGCTACTCCATATAAAGAAAATATCAAAAGCGCAACCAATAAAAAGAATTAGACGAAAGTAGAAAACATAAGTTACATAACCCTACAAAATGAAACAATTGCACATAATAATAGAATAAATGATGCACAATAATCAATAAGTAAGATGAATTTTATACTTTAATGCAAGATTTTCCTTACAAAAATATCGTACAAGCTAAGTTGAGCTTATCCAAGATGTTTTATCAGAAAAAGATTACTGTAGATTACTAAATCTAGTGAAGACAAATCAATTGTAAAGTACTTCAATTTAGGGAACTCTTGGAAGTCATCGATCACTTCAACTTCAACTCTTTTTTTGCTATCTTCAAGTGGTCCTCCAACCTAGCTACCCTAGTATCTACTATTGTACCATTCAATTTCTACCCAAGTTGTTTAACTTTTAAACGCCCTCCCAAAAAAAAAAAAAAAAAAAAAAAAATCCATAATAAATAATAAAAATAATATGGAGTAATAATTTATACACGAAGTATACAGTTTGGCCAATTTTCAACCACGGACCTTCAAATTCTTAGTATTCATAGATCAATTCGTGTGTAGTATTCCTTTACTCAGGAAAATAAAAATAAAAATTACTATCAGAACCTCAAAAGTATAATTTTACTTAACTTTTAACTTCATTTTTCATTACAGATACATAATATATCTCGTACTTTAAAATGAATTAACGGGTGTTTTTATATTAATAACGGAAAAATAAAAATTACTAGGTAATATTCTAGAGTAGCTAGTAGTACCAAAAGGGATGTTCACACTTGACAATTCACATGCATGTAGGGTTTAGCAAGTGCAGATATAGCGGGTATCGAGATAGAAGACATGCACGCGTTGCCGGTGGACGGAGGCGCAGGGTGGGGCCGAGGTAGTCCTTTGGGTGGGACTGCACTGCGAGTGTGCTCAAAAAGCCTGAGACTCAGCCATAACAATTTAGTTAACCCTTTTTTTAAAAGGTTTTTTCTTTGCTTTCTGGTCCCAACATTATTATTTTTCAACTCCCATGAAAAAGGTTTTTTTATGTGATTAGGAATTATAGGGACCTAGAGGAACCAAAATTAAACGACATATTTATCACTTGTGACTTATGAGGATGACCCCATTTCTAAAGTTGAGCTTCATTTTTAAAGCATTTCCTATTTTTATTGTTATTTTGTTTCTTGCTTTAATTTGGGCTAGAGAGAATCTAGCTATATTGTGTGCATAGTTACTTGAATCATCATCATAATCACACATTGCTAGCAAGCCTACATATGTATGTAGTAGGAGTTTAATTTGAATTTTTTTTTATTGTGTGAGTGTGTATAGTTAATTGAATCATCATCATAATCGAACACATATTGCTAGCAAGAAAGTCTATATATATAGTACGAGTATAATTTGAATTGATTGAGTACACGTATTGAGATTGTATGAATTGATGCTTGTTATCAGTTGTTAGTGACACATAACAAAGTCAATTATATTGGTGCTTTAGTTTAGGTCTGTGTGACTCAAATATTCATCGAGTTTGACTCAAGTGCTTGAGATGCATGTAGCGGACTTTATCATATACATATTGATTGAGGTCAAAGGGTTGCCAATGGTTACTACTAGTTGTGGTCCAACAAACTTATACCTAGAACAGAAATGCTGAGAGTTTAGGGTTAAAGCTGAGCTTAGGCAATTCAACATAAAAATAGTGTGAATTTTGAAAACCAGAAAAAAAAAAATATATGTCTGAAAAAATTCTCTCACATGAGCGTGATTGAATAGATGATTGGATGTGACACAATATCCCTATTAGGGTTTTGTCCACAATGAATTATTGTTCGAATAAGATAATTCTTTTGTTAAAATTTTAACTGAAATTAACAAACAAGAACAAACAAATGTTTAATAATTAATATGATTCACTAAGGAGATCGAAGAGTTTTATTGATCTTGAGAAAAACATATTACAAAATTAATCAAGTTCAGATCCACACGAAACAAAAACTATTAATTTGGTATTATAATGTCACTAGACAGACGTCAAATAGATGAGATAGGAATAGGGGGGTAGTAGGGGAGGTTGGAGTTTGGATCAAGAAGAGTATGCTTAAAACTTTGGTAGGGTGAAATTTTTGAAAAAGGGAAGTGGCCGTGGGGGAATCTAAGGCCACTGCTAAGGTTTTTGGGCGCATGCAATTTGTGTTCCCTTGACTATCTTCGCCTTCTTGTCTCTTGCTTTTTATCCTTAATTAAAAGTTTAAGTGTATTTGTGTAACACCCACATTGGTTCGTTTCATGCACTTACAATTTTATTTTTATTATCATGTCGAGAAGGGGTTTTTTTTTCCCCACTATTCTAGTCTTGTACGGAATGTATATTCTTCTTAATTAATTTTTCTAGAGCCACTCATCATTTGTTTTTCTATATAAAGTGGACAAATTTGTCTTTCAAATTTTTTTTTTAATATATATTGTATGTGAATGATTTTTATGTGTTCTACTTGAGATCTAGTGGTAGTTTTGTGTAACTTGTGTGATTGTAATCTATGACTTCTATCGTGTGTGTAATGAGGTGTTGTGATGGTGGTCTTCAAGGTCTAGGCAAAGGGAGCTAATCTATGTGGTGTTGTGACGGTGGTCTTCAAGTTCTAGGCAAAGGGAGCTAATCTATAAGGACATTTGCATAACATATCCATAGGGAATACGTTTTATGTATTTAATACACTTTAATATGATCTCAATT